TACTTGTTGATGGATTCATCTTTTTTTTTCAAATCAACTAGATGTATAAAAAAAAAAGATGAAGAAGAAATGAGTAAATTTATTGTAAAGTAAATCTTTGTCCTCTCTTATCTCTGTGAACTTTGCTTAAGTTAGAAGCAGCATCACTACGTGCTGTTTCTCTCTGTTTTTAACATTCACACACATCTCTCGAGAGACACTCACCATTTAGCAGTAAATTTATTCTGGACTCGTCTCAATGATCTTTTTTTTTTCTTCTTCTTGTTGTGTGATTGTGTGGGTAGAGTAATGTCTGAAAGAAAGAAAATCAACCATTCCGTTGTTGTATTCTTAAGAGCGAGAAAAGAGAGTGAGCAAAAGATATTTCAACCAATGTCTTTGTTAAATAAAAGAACATTGCAACTAATAGGAAACGAGAGAACGATAAACTTAAGACGAATGAAAAATCAGTGTATGCATGCGTGCAACACTTGCTTTTTTTTTTCTTTTTCCTTTGACTTAAAGAAGCATCTGCGTGTGTGTGTGTGTGTATAGACGTAAAGATATCGAATTAAAAAATGTATAGCCTCAAGGTTGACAATGTTTTTTTAACATCTTTTATGCATTTGTAAAGCTTAATGATTTGATAGACGATGATGATGATGACGACGACGTAATGAATGTGTCAACATATTGAACGCGTGCCTTTCTTTTGATAGAAGATTTTAAGAGTATACAAATATGTGTGTATATATGTATGCCTATATGTTTATTCACCTATTGTAAAACAAAATCAATAAGAGACTTGATGACGCCATTTGGATATCTGAGTAGCAGCAGAAGCATTGAAATAGTCTATATCAATCGAGCATGATTCGTTGAATATGGTTTGCCATGCTCGATAAAAATAAAAGGTAAAAAAGACGACGACCACGACGATGACGTGTCTTTTTTTTTCCTCAAAAATAGACTTGTTGATTGACGAAATGTCTGACATGTGATCGACGGTCGCGCATTTTTGAACATCATCACTAAGGTGAGAAGAGAAGTTGAGATGTGACGACGTGTCAAGTGAGCGATGTATCTCATCTTCTTTCTATATAATTTAAACATCTGTGTAGATATCCAATAATTATTGTCGAAATATAGGACAACGATTGTTTTTCTTATATCTATTGTTAAAATAGTTAAATCACTTTTTTTTATTTCTTGTTTTTTAAAAATTGATATAAAAATAAACTTTCGTTTTATTTTTTTTTAAATATTCTTATCGTTAATACATTCATTATAGAACGTTTTTTTCTTTTTGTTCTAGCTTTTACAGTTTCCTTCTTTTCTCTATCGGCTTAGCAGTAATAATAACAACAGCTATAACACAGGAAACGATGAAGTCTCCACTTTTTCTCTCTCTCGTCCGATAAAGAGTCGTCTTGAGCCAATTACAGAAAAACACTCGCCTCGAGGGTAACCAACCAAGCCACTCAGAAAAACATTTTTCTCTTCTACTAAAAGGATTTGATTGAATCGTTGATGAAGAGGTGTACACCTGCAAAAGTTTCTGTATATATATATATTTATATATACATTAGAAAACAAAAATACATATTTTTACACAGCTGGATAGATGAATTCAAGCGTGAATGGCGATCATTGATCAATTGGTTATAATAATGTTGTAGTGAAAATAAATTTATTTAATACGAGCATATATAATCCGACAAATAATGATCATTGTATAGCTCAGCTGTGTCCCTCATTTTACACACCTTTTTTTTTTCGTTCCAAGTTGGTGCTATTTCCTATTGTTACTCCGCCCTTGTCATCGCGTCATCATCGTTTACAGACAATTTGAAATTTTCCATTACATCGATACTCATTTGATTATTTTTATATATGTGTGTGCGTGTGTCTCAATAGTGATGAAATCATTCGTCAAAATAATAATAAAACAAAAAAAGTTAATTCTCTTCTTTCGTGTGAGCAGATGCCAGGGAGTTATGTTTTATCTCAAAGAAAATAATCTTCGATATTGATCTGTAGGTGTATGTCTCATTCTTTACTTATAGGTTGAAAACGTGCATTCAAGTGATCAAACACCTGTCAACATAATTCTTCTCTTTTTTTTTTGTTTCTATATACATTTATCTCAAGAATGTCGAAATGATGTATTGTCATGCATTGTTGATTTCTCTTTTTTTTTTTTTTCAAGATATATTTTATTGGTAAAAATATCTTTTATCATCATTTATTCTAGTCTCGCACAAATGTCACTCTATTATTTCTGTTTCTCTTCAATGAAAGAGAGAAGGCTTATTTTTTCCTTATTTTTTTTTTCTTTTTTTTCCTCCATAGAGAGAGGAAGAGAGAGCATTTGATTAAAAGTAAAAGTTGTCTAATGAACTAGACGAGCAAAAAACACACATATACAAACATACAATGAATGCATAGACCGAGTGTGAAATACATCCGCATTACTAATGACATCCCACCAGCATACGTTGTTCTTTATATAGAGAAATACATGATAGATCATTCGTATAGCTACAAAATGCAAATTGAGTCGTTCTTTCAAATGAAGACAAGCGTAGCAAATTCGAAATACATGACAAATGGAATGTAAAGGAGAAGGTGATATTCTTGTTTTTTTTTTCGATTGAGCAATACTAGACATCCATCTGTCGAACAATTAAAAAGAAAAAGATAAGAATAGTTAACGATCTTCGATGCATATAAATAAATATATGTATGGATACATATGCGATTAACAAGTGAAGATGCTATTTAACAATTTTCTCTCACTTATGTGAATATATATATATATATCAAAGAGACATGCGTCATTCAATTCTTGACAACAATAAGGCTACTGTATCACTCATAATCATGAGGTGTTTGATTGAACATGAACAACAGCCGATGCCGCTCACTTTCACTGCCACTTCACTACATGTGTGTATGTGACATATTCAATATGCATGATAGAAAAAGGAAGAAGTAAAGAATTGCATGTATGTGTTGATGTTTAACTTGATTAGATATGCTGTTATCCACTTTGATGTATATGTGAGATAGGATATATATTGTAATTTCTGTCATTCATTAAAAAGATCAACCTACCTGTGTATGTGTGTGTATTAAATGTATTACACGTGTAAAAGATAGTGAACTTTGCATAGAAGATTTATAATCAATCAATTAATCTTCTATCAAACATGTTCTTTGATAAGCAAAATGAAATAAAAAGAAAAATCTTCAATGTTAATTTGTGATGAAGAAGATTAACAGTTGTCTATCGATAGATGAGATGATAACAAAAAAAAAATGATTGTATGAAGCAAATCACTTGTCCTTGAAGGTATCTTTCCGTTTTCATCTAAACCTTTCCTTCAGAAAACCCATCGATATTTTCTCTTTCAGAATATATATAGCTATTCACAAAACGAACTGATTTCCATAGACTTATAGGAGGTAACTTTGACCCTACTATTATATTTTTCGAGAGATTTTTGCAATTTTTTAATAGGTTTTCAGTTAGAAAAATTGAAATACCTTTCACACAGTTCACGACAGAGATGCCAATGTGATGTTCTTCTTTGACCCATGGATAAGGGTGCCCCTTCCGTCAGTTTTCCACACTGATAGAAAGATTAAGTTTTTGAAATTTTGTTTACTCCTGACCATGGACTTCATGGGTGGACTCTTGGGACACACGAAGAGAAGATTATTTAAAGTAATACTCATCAAAACGTGCAATATATACTATTTACGAATATTCAATCAAATAACAAGGAAGACAAGGTTATAAAACGAAATCTCATAACAAAACGTTTCTCATATTTATTAGAGTAAGATATATGTCTAGAGACAAATATTTATGATAAAAAAAATTAGAAACTTCTACATGCTTGGTTTGGTAAAATTATAACAATAATATTATTTCACTTCGTTTATGTCTGCATTTTTATTGCACGAACAAGTAATACATTATTTATTTGAGTATCATATCAGATACACGATTTCTTCGTTCAAAATAAATGAAAACAACACTAAAAAACGTTTTAACACTCACAGATGTTGTTGCTGAAGAAAATGAGCGACAAGCTGATAATCCTAATTTAGATAATTTTGATTTATGCTCTTTTTACTAAGACAACAGACTTTCATTGTCCATATTTTCATTTAATTTTTGAACTAGAAATAAATATGAGACAAATTCATCAGCAAATCTGTTGATTGAATCATCTCTAAATGATTCATAATCGTCATGACATTCTTCAGTAGAATCAAATGTATATTCACAATTATATTTTTAAAACAATTGACATTTTTTTATCTGTATTTGTGCTACTACATTAAGTGACGCAAGTAGTAGAGAATGATTGATAGTTTTAATTTCATCACAAATAGATTTATTGGTTAAACTCATTTCTTCTTTTGTGGGTGTGAGTCAATATCGAAGAGTGACACTACTAACTAATAGAGCAATGAGAAAATTTCTACAATTTCCTCGTCTATATTTCCAAGTCTTTTCATGTATTTTGAGAATAGCATTTAGACCATGGGGTAAGTAAGCTTATCACCCCATGGTCCAGATCATACTTGTAGAATTAAATGTGCGAAAATTGATGACTTTGGGGGAAGGTGATGGACAGCACTTCCTCTCATCTCATGGGTGACTCCATGAGCATCTCTAGTTCAAAATATAACCAATATTTTTTTTTGTTTTTTTTCACATCTTGGAGTCACAGATTAAACGAACTTCAAAATTCTGTTTGATAAAACATTGTGCACAAGTGTTGGTTTTCATTTGAAACCATTCCGAGTTCTCTGTACCTCTTTTAGTTATGAAGTTATAAGAATTCTTCTGAAAACCATAAATGTACGAAAAATAAGCTGGAAGTTCGGTGTAGTTTGGCGTATCGAGCTGATTCTCTACTCTCACATACATCTCGGTCAAAGGGCTGGCACCAATGACTTAATGTAAATATGACTAACTCCAATTTAAACTTATATGAAGTGATTGTTGAATTAAAGAAAGATTATGCGTTCAACATGGTTAAGATCAAACAATTTGACAACAATATGAACAAACATCAATGGAATAACCAAATTATTGTTCGGAATTAATGAATTCTTAATTGAATGAAATGATATGAAAAAGATTATTTTTCATTAGATGACTATTTTATTGGCACTACGCTATGAACTATTTGTATTATATTTTTATTTTTATTATAACAACTACCTTCTCTAATATAAAGTTGTATTTTTTTTTGTCATAAAATACTGCTGAATAAAATATATCGATAAAACGGGACCAAACAAATTATTCAATAAAAACTCGAAAAATATTTTGATTCAATCGTGATGAACTTTTTTAGATGATGAAAACTGGTATATTGATGAATTTGAGTATCTGCAATATATTCCACCATTCGTAAGTTTCTTGGTATTTGTTATATAGAAAAATAGACTGTTCGTTTTTTCACCGACCTACATATTTTTCATTGGCATTTGTTCTTGTCTTTATTATGAGTGTGATAATTTTTTCAAATATTTTGTCCTGTTTTTTTTTGCATAGAATGTTCTCTGTTTTGTCGTTTCGATGAAATTTTAATGGTTCAAGCATCTAAAGTTTTCTCTTTGGAGATAAGACTGAAGAGAGTGTTGATTTCTTTCAAGATTTATATAATTTTGATCAAATTTACGTTGAGTTATAGAAATGAACTTTCGTGAAAAGTAATATAAATTAGATAATTACATCATAAAACATTCGTTTTTTTAAATAACTGTTCAATTGTGAATAGCATACATTACAGTGATGAATTTTCTACGCAGTATACAAGAGGAAAACAGCTGAAATAAGATTTTCATTATCGAAAATTGATTTTTTTTTTGATTAAATTTAGCTTAGTAAACAGGCTATGTTTAATAACGCTTGCATATGCATGTTGTTTATTATCTTGCTAGTAGTACACCCTAAATGAGCTGCATCTAGAATCACCTAGATCATAATACTATATATCAATATGTTCTGAAGCATTCTTGATAACACTTATATCTGTGTTATTAATCATCAGACTGAGAATGAGGCAATTCAGTACACTTTTAATATTCAAATCATAATTCGAATAGGATAGAAAACAATATTTTTATTTCCTCACTATGACATGTCTCAAATGATCAGATGAGAGTAATAACTTCTCATGAGTCAAAACTAGAAAGTCGTTTACTTATGCAAAAGTTTTGTTTGTTCATTGATTGTTAGTTTAAAATATGAGTGACAAAGAGATGATTTAATGGTGTCGTAAATATTCATACCGCGAAATGTATAGTTACTGACATTTGATAAATATTCAGAATTTGACTCTTCTTGATTTTTATGATCCGTGTTGGAGCTGGATGTCCTTTCAGTATATTCAGCCACACACCTGTTCAAATCTGAAACTTCTTCTTGTTGATGATACTGACTTCATTCAGTGTTATTGGAATTCCATTGTTGTTAAAAATGTTGATACCAAGAAGTGCTACAAGGTCACAGATATCAACAAAAGTATAACGCACCGTCTGTTCGATTTCATAGATAGGAAGAGAGCCAGTAATGATTTGAGTAGATGTCAAGTTTCTTGCTGATTACAATTGATTGTCCATGATGAAGAGCATGAAGAGTAAACCTTGAATAGGATTCGGCTTCACTCTTGATCGTTTGAAGAACCGACAACTTCTTTCCGTGATAGGCAAAACCTCGAGTAATCACAATGATTTTCGAGAAATTTTTCTAAAATCTCTTCCGTCACTGTGCTAAATTAGCACAAATAGGTTGGGTCCATCACATTGACAACCATTTTAATTGTTGGACTTATAGACACTCAAATCAGATGCAAATCCACGCAATTTTACAATCTTTTCGAGAAAAAGAAGCTGTCTCTACTGTGGTAGTATGTTTAAAATATCTCCCGCACCACTGATGCCGACATAATGTCAGTGCCACCACAGACATATCTGGTTTCTTCATTTGTCATATAGCAACTTCAACAAAAATTGAACTTTCATAGGTATATGCTAAAAGATGCTTACTAAAACTTTTTTCTTCACTTATTCAATATGATCGTCATTTTCGCATTCAAAAAAGAAACAAATTTACCTTTTATCTACTTTCGTCAACAAATATTATCGTCTATCTCTGAAAGTTATTGTTCTCGGAAGAAAAATCCCAACAACAATACCTTTCTCTCTTTTTATTCACTTGATAAAAAAGGTGTATACACACATTCACCGTATCATTTAGTTAAAAGTAAAGAAAAAGCATAAAGTCGATTACTTTCAGACAATTGAAGCAATTGAAAATCGAATAACAACTATTAAAGCACGTTTTTAGTGAAAAGTAAGTACTGTTGTGTTCTACAAACAATTACATGTTCCGATCCAAGTCCTACTACATTTGAGTTTCTTTTTTTTCCTAACTTGTATGACTTAGGTAATTCAACAAAGCTGAGTGTCCCGAAGAAACAAGATATACGATAATCAATAGTTTCTATGTAATATAGAAATATTTTATTACAATCTAAATCCTTTGACAGTAAGATGAAGTATATAATTTATAAACTTTCGAAGCACTTAAGTTTAAGAACTAGAGGGAAGAGTTGAAGAAAATGCATGATAGTCTCATTGAATACCTATTTGTTCGTCGTAGTGTCTGTTTAACTGAAAGTATTAGAGGTTCAAACAGGTTCACGAAAAGTTGGCCCAAGCTGCCCATCATAGGTGATGAACTTCTTCAGCCTGCTGATGTTTGTCATTTATTTTTGTCGGCCTGGCTTACTTGCATGTCTGGCCTACCTGTCATAGTCTTTACATACTAGTACTATGATGACATTTGAATCGAAGCAGAACACTCCAGGTTAGTGGCTTACGGCTGGATTACATCAAGAAATAGTAGAAACTTGGAAGTAGATATCCAATACGCGGATTCGTTAACCAGAACCTCCCGGGGTTGAGCAGTGCCGGTCACTGAGTATCATCATTGTATTTCTTTTTCCAAGTTCGTACTTTTTTTTTTTTGGAATATTCGGTCCAAAAATCTACGGACCGAGTGCCGAAATCATTGACTGAGAGTGTTTTTCTAAGAAGACAAGTAGGTTATGTATATCAAAACGAAATGAGTATGTGATACATTATTGATTTCATACACGGTGTATCTGTCAACAATAGAAAAAAAAGACAACGTTAAAATTTACAAAAACATGTGACAGGCTTGAAAAATCAGAGCCTCTGCTTATCTAAACTGAGCAGTTTCAATGGCCTGTTTCGGATTATGAATAGTATTAAAAAATGGTGTACGTTCTTTTTACAGTGCACCATTTTTGTTCCATTATCGTGCCACTCATTCGTTGTGAAAGAAGTAATATTAGCTATATACATGTTATTGCTGTGCATTATAGCGTATGATATGATTCTGTAATTTTTTACTTGAAAAAAATTTTGCTGCGTATTATTACTAGAGTGATGACTTCATCAAATTGTTGTTCAATATGTGGAAAACATGCAGGCACTTGTTTTTGCTCCGGTTGTAAAACATACTTTTGTAATGATGACTTTCGAAGTCAGTCATCGTGGAATATTACTCAATGAATTAGATGGACTTACAACAGATCGGAATGATCTTCAAGCAAAACTAAACGAGGTTGCTTCAAACAAACAGCCTAGCAAACACTTTCTTGCACAAATTGATGAATGGCAACCAACAACTATCGCGAAGGTAGAACAGGCTGCCGAATTGGCTCGACGACAGGTCTTCAAAATCACAAATTCAAAGTGGGAAGAAATTACAAGACAGTTTCAAACGCTGTCTCAAGAATTGAAGGAATTACAAGATAAAAAAGGTGTTGTTGAACAGGATTTAATTCGATTGAAACAAGAAATTCATCAACTTAATGAAGATTTAAAACAAGTAGCGCAATCATCGACCATCGAACTGAATATGGAACAGAGTGATAAAATCGTATGGCAACACATGATATATGTCGAAGAAAAGTCTGTATCTGCTGGTAATTAACTACGCCAATCGAAACCAGCGGGTAAGCATTTCAATAGAGTCTGCAACGGAAGCTTTGAGCAATATTTGTTTTTTTGTGTACTCAAAAAGTGAGTACACTCTAGAATCGGTCAGTGTGTCCGGCCGTCCGGCCGTTAACACGATAACTTTTGAAAGGAGAGTCCGATCACGATGAAATTTTCTACACAGTTTAGTCTTAACAATATCTCGGTCGAGTTCGAAGATGAGCATGATCGACCGAGCCATTCGTGAGTTATTGCAAAAATAGTCATTTTTCCCTATGGCTTCCTATGCGAAAATCGACCGATCCCAGCTTTCGTAAACAACTTTTCCTATCATAGTTAAATAAAACCCCAACTATTATATACCATTCGATAGAGAATTTCACGAGCTACAAAATGGTATATAAAACATAAAGAAACAAGAAAGCTAACTCACCTATTGCAAAGATAATTAAACGGAATTTGGTTTTGTTCTTGTCCACGCTCTAATTGATCTACAATTAGAGCTCTATCTTCCGATCATACAGATGATAGTTCGAGGTTTTCTGGGGTGGAGAACTCGAATATGTGCTCCATTCGCCTCGAAATTCCATTGGTTGAGCAGTAACCAATAGCAATCAAGTTATAGGAAAAAAGACTTTCTTAGGGTAAATCAAGACGAAGAGTTCAAATCTGAGCTGTATTTACCCCAAATCCTATTGGTTGAGCAGTAGCCAATAGAAATCAAGTGTTTATAGAAAAAGTTTGCCAGGATAATTTTTATGTCTCCACATTCTAGGATGACTCATCTGCCTCATTCACTTTTTGAAGTACACATAACTCTCGGATTTAAATCCGAGGTTTCCACATTTATTTTACTAACTATTCAAGTTTTTTTTTACCGTTTCGTCTACAAGAAGACCATAGCATGAGACAAATCAGTATAAGAATCTTTTAATTATGAAAAATATGAATCAAAAAGTCTTCTGTTAGTTATTACGTGATTTATTATACATTGCGAGAAAAAAACGATCAAAGCAACATCACATGTTATATACAGCATCTAAATTGCGATATTTCTCTGCTTTGGAGCTGAAAAATGGATCAAGATATGTTGGGTGAGTTTTTCGTTTCTTCCTAATGTATATAATTATCATGGAAATAAGTACGTCTAAACTCTATTAACATAGTGAAATGGACCGATTTCTAACAGAAGAATACATATTTATAACGAATAAGACCTGTTTTAGATGCTGTTTGAAGTTTATAGTGGTGCTGAAAGAAAACCATCACATTAAAATTCAATAAATCTCACCAATATAATTAGATCCAATAAAGCATCCCTCCCATGATATCTGTCACTATTTTCGACTTTCCTCATGTTACCCTTGACTACGTTACGAACTTGCTTATTCAATCTTGCCCATTTCTATGTACTAATACTATGGTAAACACTACAAATCTTCGTTTTCAATCCTTAATCTCTTTGATAAACTATTTTTAACTGAAACAATATATAGAGGGTCAGTTTTTTCGAAGTCAACCATTTTTCAACTGATCATAGTTATTAGAAGATGATTTAGGTAGATAATTGAAAAAAAACCTTATCAACTATAATTTGTATGAATTTTTAAGATATTTTACAATCCAGTATCTATATTCGAAATAGTTTCTAGTCAATCAGACAGATCCTTAGAAGTTGTCACTAAGCTCGGATTTCAATTCAATGTATCTTGAGAGGTTCGAGTTGAACTGTTCGTAGACTTCATCAAATTTCAAGCGATCAACTGTACACATGCACTCATTACCAAGAGAAGTTATATGTCTTGCTTATTTCCTTACAAAGTCAATGCATGGTGAAAACCAGAGTAGAGAGGTTTTATGATGAACTTGAATGAAATCTGCAATTTACACTTGCTAACTATTAAATTTTCTTGAATATATAGGATATGTTTGACTGTTCTTGAGTGAGACTTTTTAATATGTATGTCAAGAACTTTTAAGTGTCATACTGATTATGACATTGTCACAGACTAGAAATCATTGTCAAGCAAAAAAATTTATTAACGAGACATCACTTCATCTCGATATGTCTGAGGTTCCGACTTCTCTTCAAAATACTTTGGCACTGATCAGTCTAGGAGAAAACTTAGAAAGCTATGCTTCTTTTGTTTTCGTTAATCAGAACGACTTCGGCTATATGAATCAATATCGATATCCCTATATAGGGCGCTCTGACACAACTTCTGAAATTTCGTTCATATATTTTTTTTTTACCGCAAAAGTCATCAATAATGCTAGTTTTTTGCTATTAACATGAACTAATAACACTCTTTATTTAGAGGGAACACCAGCTAGCTGCAAACGTTCTTCAGAGAAAACTTTCGTGTAATGGTCATGCTTGTTCGAAATGTTATGGTTGTTCATTCTCTGTGCAACATCCTATAAACTAATCATACCAATTCATAAGCTTGATTTCAACTGAATAGGTGAGCCATTTTCTGGCAAATGTTCTCAGGAGATTTCATCAAACATGCAATTAACAATCATTTTGATAATCTACAAAATAGTATTCACACTGAATGAAATACTTCAATATAATGTTGATTTTCATTATTCACTATTAACTAGCTCTCATTACTCAACCGGTTTGGAACATTTACTCTGAAATATAGAATAAATGTGAACAAAACTGTTGGTAAATCTATATACAATGTCTATGTTCTCTTTATCAGTCTTTTTATTTCTAATTTTCATTCGAATTGAGCAGAATAGGTGAACAGAACTCTCGCGAAGAATAATCATCTGTCATGTGACCTTGGATCATCTGATGAATCTCGCTTTCTTGTCTTCGAAATGAAATAAATAGGTGAACAGAACTCTTCTGAAGAATATTCATTTGCCATGTGATATTGGATCCTCTGATGAGTCTCGTTTTCTTACCTTCGAAATGAAATGAATAGGTGAACAAAACTATGGCGAGAAACATTCATTTGTCATGTGATATTGGATCATCTGACGAATCTCACTTTCTTGTCTTTGAAACGAAATGAATAGGTGAACATTATCATTGGGAATTAATTATTCATTTAACTTGTGGTACTTTCGAAATGGCTTATTTGACGCTTGTAGTGTATAGGACATGATGAAGACAGACTGAGCACCCGTATAGCCTGTTCATCAATTCTTAGTTTCTAATCAATCAATCAAGTTAGAATCTCAACAATGAAATCAAGCGTAATCGCTGAATAGAATTCTCGTTAGAAGTATTTATTTATTCTATGATGTTGTATCCATTTGCGAGATTCAAGATGATAGTTCAGATGTAAAAAGTAATCGAAGATAATGATGATAATAGTTGTTCATTGTTATTCTTGTCTTTCATCAATTTCACAACTCCTAATACTTTTTTTTGAAAAAAACAATATATCTGAAAAAAAACAATGGTAGAAATAGTTCATAAATCATATAGATTTTGAGCAGCTACCAAAATCATAAGTTTTATTCATAATTAACCTACATAGAAGAATAAAAACATGCTACTTGTAATTTTGCATCATTCGAAAATGATCTTATCACTTTTTGTGACTTAATCTTGTTTTTGCTGTAATTTCTAGCTAGCACTAATTGAGATGAATGAAAACTTCTGACACAATTTTCTTCATTTAGCTTTTCTATATTTCAAATTTGTTTCAAAATACTCATTATAATTCAATTAGATTTTATTTCTTTCCTATTTGTCAATTAATTGTCAAAAGCTCGGTGAACTTTTTCATAGTTAATGAAAACAAGTTAGTATTGTAAATTGAAAGAAATATAGTCCTTTTGAGAATTTTTATTAATACCTTGTCTGATGTATTGATATTTTCATCAATGTATCTAATACATTTTGCAGTCTTTTTATTTGAACAAGAAGAACAGTATGAAACCTTCATTATTGTTCTATTGAATTCCATCGTTTCAAAAGAGATGTGTTTTGAGGATTTATATACTGGTTCTGATGTCAAAATGAGCTTGATGCCACTAGAAATGAAAAAAAAACAAAAGAAATCTCTACTTTTCTCTTTAATGAATCGAACATTGAAAATTATTAAGAACATTTCATAAAAAATATCACAAAACAATAAAATCAAATATACTTTCGATAATGAATCCTAGTTGTGTGTCCCACGCAAATTCAGTTGGGTTTCTAATCTTAAAATAAGGCATAAATGTTACAAGAGTGAATGATCCTTGGAAAGAAAATAAAATGCTCTTCAATGAAGTGTCACATGATATTACTGACATACATATAAAACTTCAATGATATGGTAAGTTTCGAGAATTAAATATTGATAAAATTCTAACATACTCGACTATTCAATGTGGAGAAACTATGATTTTATGGATTAGTGTTGCATTTCTAAAAATGAAGAAAAACCTTTCGACATTATATTCATTAAAATATAGCATAATGAATGGTAGTCATCATTTTATTGCAAATAAAAATTGTTCAAGTAGTAAGATGATCATAGCTCTCAAACAAAAAAACGAAAAAAAATCAAATAATGTGATCTTACCAACAGATACAAAATTATTGAATGTGAAGCATATTAACTCTTTGGAGACCATGGCTATAGATATGCGGCTTCGAAATTTGACTAAGGGAAGAAGCCCTTAAAGACACTAAAACTGGATTTTTTAGTATAGGTATTTTATTCCAAGACGCGTGGGACACATATAGATGTTATGGAAGAGTTTAAGTACAGTATATACATATTTTTAGCTCGGTGTATTCCTCATCATTTACTATACATGTTAGGTAATCTATCATAAGAAACTATTATTGGTTTGTGTAGAGTCCATCAAACGCATTTATGCTCTGTGCTCTCTTATAGGTTAATTTTGCGTGAGAAAATAAATCTCTAAAATGTATTCCACCTAATGCTGGTTTTTGACGCTGATTCCGGACATCGCATTTATCTTGCTGGGAAATCACGTCATGGCAATGAAAATTCTTAAAAAAATATTTATTTATTTTATTGAAAAATTATTATTTTTGAGAGAGTTGTAAACCACAATTTACCTGGAAGACCAACTTTTTTTTCAATATTTTGTTACTATTTCGTAGGGAATGAAAAGTCAGGGATGGGTGTGGATATGAACGTGAGATAGAAGACACCCACACTCACATCCTCTCTAACTTGTCGAAGAATAATCCTCGGAAATATTTATCGGTCAAATTATCACTATTTTCTACATAACAGGTAGGTAGTGAAAAAAAGACGATCTAAAATAAAATAATCAGAAATTTAAATTTCGATTAGTGCCTCGAATCCTCTATCTCCTCACAAAGTCTCTTAAAACTTTTCAGACAGGAGTTAGTTTTTAAGACTTTTCAAAGATTTGTTCACTGCTCTTGAACAAAAGCTGACACAAAATTTTTAAGTTCATATTCAGAAAGAGTACAAAATTTTGGATCTAATCCATAGATTTTGACTCATCTGAAATACTTAACTTGTTCAGTACGACTTCTAAATATATTGTATCTAGACATAAGCATGACCAATCGTTTTTGGTCTCGGTAAGAAAAAAGAATTGATGCACATCAACCAGCGTCATATGAATTGATCAAACAAAATGAAATTATATCTTTGTATTCGAAGGATATTTTATTGATGAAATATGTTTTCAATGAATGAATATAATAAATCAGGACTTTATGCAGTTTTTGAAAAAAAAAGCAGCAATGAAATAATTTTGATTATATAAATGTAGTTTAACAGTTCAGAATGTGATGAAAGAATCTATGCCATTATAGTGTAGCTTACATTGACACCAAATCCTGAATTATCAGGTCGAAAATATAATGGTGTACGTGTGAGAATATTTGATGTTAAATTAGCACCTGTAACACTGAATGAAGTAGTGCCAGATGTTGTAGCAATAGATGTTAATCCATCTTGAATACCCACTCCAATATATGTTCCTGGAAAAACATTGATTGTATTTGCAGTGATATTATAGGTTTGTCTCAATTGTGTTGTTGATATTTGAGAAGAAGGAACTAAATATTGACTACAAGCCATATAACCACCAAGAATTGGGATAATGCCATAGATCCAAATACGTGTTGATGCAGTTGGTAATCTTTGTTGAACATATTGAATAGACACAGTTCGAACATAACCATTTACTGTACTTGAATCATTGAGATTAAAAAATGTATTATTTGGTGTAACATATCCACTATTGGAAATTCGATTTGGATTCATAGTTACAACTGAAGAAAACAGAATGATGATTATAAGAAATAAAAATAAAAATTTTAGTTAAATAGAAATCTTACTTATTCCATTAGTTACAACTTGACCTAAATAAAAAGCAAATAAGAATAAAGAAAGAAAAAAACGCTTTTTTTTTATTCATATCGATATTTTAATTAACCTTTTTTTAGTATGTTTCTGTTAATTTAATTAATAAAAATTTCGAAAGATATTTCATTCGTAGTAAATTACAATTAATTTTTTTATAAGAAAAGATTTTTGTATCAAGATTGAGGAGTATTCGACAAAAATGATCGACATTGGAATCATTTTTAAGGAAGAAATAATCTTGACGTTAAACATTGTCGATATTGAATATCATAGTAGCTGATTTTAAAAAAAATGTTGAAAACTATAATGCATGACACTTGGATACGTTGAATTTCTCTTAGGAATTAGAAAAGACTGTTACTGATAAAAAACTGGATTGAATTTATTCTTATATTTATTGATTTTTGAAGTTTTCCAATATCATTTTTATCAACGAATTTCATTTTTCAGCACACGATAGCATACACTAAAATAATTTGTTATCTCGATGAAATAATGATCAATAAGATTGTAGAACTGGGATGAAACTACTCTCGAAGCCAGAATCAAGATCGAGGTTGGGAGCAGAATCGAGAGTGAGATCCAGATCGAGACTGAGATTAAGACTGGAACCGGGACCTATACTTTTTTGGACTAGAACTGAAGCCAGAATCGAGACTAGGATTGGGGCTGGGATCATTTTTATTGGCTGAAACTAGTATTGGAACCAACTATTTTTTGGTCGAGACCAGGATCCGAACAGAGATTAGGACTGGAGTTGAAATTGAAATCAATTTTTGTCTCGTCTGGAGAACGAGGACTGGGGTCAGCACTTAAAACAGAGCCAAGACCGAAATCATGACCGAGATCAGGACTGACCCTATCTCTTTTTAAGACTAGGATCAATTCTTTTTTTTTGACAGGATCCGGAACCACAACTAAAATCGAGACTAGAACTACTTTTTTCTGATCAGAACTTGGACTAATCCTTTTTTATGAACTGAAGCCAAGATCGAGGTCGAGAGCAGAACCGGGACTGTGATCAGTTTTCTTTGTATTGGAACTCGAATCGGGAGTGATCCCTATCCTTGTTTTTTTGGATTAGGATCAATTCTTTTTTTTTAGCAAGAACCGGTATCAGAACTGGAACCGAAACTAGGACCGAGGCCAGGTAATTTTTTGTTTGAGACCCGAACCAGCCCCAATCTTTTTTTTTGGGTCGGAATCAGTTCTTTTCTTTAACCGCGACCGAGACTATCCAGTCGAGCAAGGATGTATTTTAACGTGTCAAAACCGAATAAAAAGTGCGCTTTTTATGTTGAAAAAAAAAACGATTTTTATTGTCGCAAGAATGCAGTTTATTGGCTTCAGATTCGACATATGCGATCAAACAAAAAAGTTTTTTTTTGAGAAAATGTAAAAAGCACACATCTTAACACGTAAAAATGCAGTTTTTTTTATCCGTTTTCTTTCTGATCAGTGATCGGAACTGTCAACAAAAATGATTAATCTCTCGCATGTCTAAATCTCACAGAAGTATCACTCTCGAGTAAGATATCAACTATTCTATTATGAGGTAGAGACGATATCGGTGCATGTTTTTCTAGCTCTGGACTGAGTCAAAACTTATAATAAGCTGAAAAGTGCATTAAAACTTGTTTTGATCGCATTGGTTAGTATTTTCTTGGGACTGAATTGATCTCACCTCTGTTATGATGTTTAAATAGATCCTTTCATTAAGGTAATAACATTTTGAAGATTTTAAATTCAGTATCCGTATTTTACAGCATACACAAAAGAAAAAAAAACATTTTTTTCTTCATCGGAAAAACAGCAAACAATAAAAAATAACTTTTCAATTGAAAGAGAATAATGTTACCTTCGAATATTTTATCAAATTTTTATTTCCTAGTTAGTTTTCATATGGCTTACAGTATGTTTCAAATAAAAATTCAAAACTTGATATCAAGATCTGCTGATTAAAACGAGTCTCGTATATCATTCTTACACAAGCGACATTTAATAAAAATGTAGTAAAGGATACGCAAATCGAATATGTTATTACCTGGACATGTCAGTCGAATGTTAGATCCATTGCATATAACAGGAGCTGCTGTTGTAAGAACTAAAGATATTATTGTAGAAGTTGAACTGACCGTAGTGGTAGATTCTGAACTATTTCTCATATTGATATATTGAAGACTAAATCTTGTTGGACCCCATGCCATAATAGAGAATGATGTTGTTACATTAGGCGAATATGTTGTAAATATTAAAATATAAGTTGTACCAGCTTGAAGTATATATGTTATTAAAAATTGGTTATATCCACCAGTATCATCATCTAATGCAACAAGATTAGATGTGACATTGGATGGATTGAAACTATTGACATATAAATAACCATAACTATTTATACTACAGTTACTTTTGAATGTGTAAGTTCCTGTTGTATTTACTGTTACTCGGATTGCTTCAAAATAAAATATGCCTGTTGGTCCAAATCGAGTGAACCTAGGACTGGTATTATTCAATGAACTTGAGTAATTTGTTACAATGCCCGTAATATTGATTACATTTGGTCGAGTAGCTATTGGAAAGAAAATATTTCAGGATCATTAATGTTTAATTTCTTTCAATTTTGAGAATTTGTTTTGGATTTGAGTTCAGAATAACATCAAGCACTGTTTCTAGCGATTAAGTTTCATTCGATACGTACTCGTAGTCAAATAAACCGAACTATCATCTTATTAAGAGAGCGTCTATAAGAGGACCGCATATACGAGACACTCGATAAAGAACTTTCTTTTGCCTATTCAAAGTATCAATGTTTAAAATATCGATCCTAAAGTTTTAGCTTCTAATATCCTTCATTTGACACATTAACTAATACCAATTTTTAGCACTGTCCGAACTTTTTCGGAAAAAAAACAAGAGAAAATATCTTATAAAAGATGTCCTGGTTTCCATTTCAACAGGCCATTGAAATTGTTTATGATATATATTAGAACATAGAGAATTAAAAGCTGAACAAAATAAGCTATGTTGATATAGTTTAGTAATTAGCAATTCAAATTTTATAAAGCTAACATGAGTCAAAAGAATCGTTTTTATCAGCTCAAATCTAACAAAGTACCTTCTGCTGTGTTTCAGAATCAGAGGATCACAAACTAGATTTTATATATATTGTGCTTTTTTTTTCTTCTGTACAAAACGGTAAAAAGAATATACAAAAAACATCTCGGTTTCGATGTGAAACACGGCTTACATCTCCTAATTTTTCATGGTTTTTCAATAGAAAATGAACATTTTTAGCGGTTTTCATTATCATGGTACACTGCTAAAGCAAAATAGATACAATATTCGAAATCAACGTCAAAACCAGCATCTAATCATATATATATTTTAGTAAAAATGTTTTTCTATCCAAACCTGATCCATGATCCTCCATAGCTAAATTTAAAAGAAAATTTTTCTTCCTGGTTCTCTACCGGTCAGTTTTGGACAGAAAAACATTTGCTAAAATATATATGCCTAAATGCAGTTTTTTATACTAATTTCAAATATCGTATCTATTTTGCTTTAGCAATGTACCATGACAATGAAAACCGCTAAAAATGTTCATTTTCTATTGAAAATCATCAACAATGATGAGACATGTAAGCGCTGTTTTGCATTAAAACTGAGACGTTTTTTTTGAATATTTTTTTACCAATTGGTACAGAAGAAAAATTTGCACAATACATATATATAATCCAGTTTGGGTTCTTGTGATCCTGAAATATAGCAGGAGGTATATTGCTGTATTTAGACTCATCAAATGAACTACTAGGATTTATGTTGGTTTTATAAAACTTGATTTGATAGATATGATACTATATCAATATAGTTCCAGCTTTTAATTATCTATCTTCTGAGATATATCATGGAAAATCTCAATGATCTATTGAAATACAAGCAGGCACATCTTTTATGAGGTATTTTTTCTTGTTTTTGTCTCAAAAAATATGAGAGTACTAATAGTCAGTATTGGCTAGTTTTTCAAAGAAAGAATATCAGAAACTAAAACTTTGGGGTTAGTAATTGTAGACATTGATATTTTGAATAAAGATGTTGATGTGGGTGTGAGTGTTGGATATTTGTATACCAATCATATAAACACACAGCCACAACTACAACTACATCTACACCCCATACCCATACCCATACTCACACTCATACCCGGTCACAACTGAAATCTGGTTCTGAGGCTGCGATTGGGATTGAGACTATGACTGCGACCGAGGCCTAGGACGGAACCGCGATCGGGATGGCGACTGACCCCTTGACTAGGACTGGGACCCCAACCAAGGTAGAACTGGAATCAAGACTACAACTGCTACTGGAACTGGGCTAATTTTATTCTGATGAGGATCAAATTTTGTTTTACCGTGACTTTAACCAAGACCGCTTTTTTATGGTCAGAATTGGGATCAAAAACGATTGGTCCCACTCATGACTAGAATTACGTATCTGATAATTCATAAGAGATTTCAGAGAGGTCGACTATTATCATAGTCAGCTTCGCTTCATTTATCTTAGTAAATTATCAAACTTCAGTGTTGTTTTTCTTGCGAAAAAATTTCCTGATAAGAGCTCCAACAATCTTAAACAAACGTTGAAATCAGAGATCCATTTGATAATAAGAAGACTCTCCGTAGATTTTGTATATAGTGAGAAATAGGTGTGTGACCTTTCCAGTTCCGTTCGCGGAGCTGAAACTGGTTGACTAGATCCCGCTCACGAAAGCTGGAGCTATTCATCAGCACAGCTCTCTCAATCCTAGAAGCATGCCTAATGATGCAAAGAAACGGGAGAATGATGCCTGAATATGCTACATGCATGCATCTTGCATCTTCAGGCATTCTCATAACATCTTATGAACTGAACTGATGAATAGCTCCAACTGTTGGGAGCTGTGGAGCTAGAGCTATCACACACCTGATCAGGAAAAGGAATGGGACGAAAATCAAATTCATAATGCATACTAGTAGTCACCAAAGTTGTAGTAGTCGTAGTTGATGACACCATATTCAAACGAACAAGAGAAACTCTTGCTTGACCCCATGCCATAATAGAGAATGATGTTGTTACATTAGGCGAATATGTTGTAAATATTAAAATATAAGTTGTACCAGCTTGAAGTATATATGTTATTAAAAATTGGAAATATCCACCAGTATCATCATCTAATGCAACAAGATTAGATGTGACATTGGACGGATTGAAACTATTGACATATAAATAACCATAACTATCTATGCTGCAGTTACTTTTGAATGTGTAATTTCCTGTTGTGTTTACTGTTATTCGGATTGCTTCAAAATAAAATATGCCTGTTGCTCTATATCGAGTGAACGTAGAGCTGGTATTGTTCAATACACTTTGATAACTTGTTATCATAGTATTTGGAGGATAGGTTGAAGTGCCAGCTAGAATTATGGAAGATAAACATTATCGAAAAGTTTTAAGCGATAAAAAACAATATTACTCTAACCATTAAACTAACAAATTTAAAATATTACGTGTCCATAGCGAGCATGGATCAAGATATTTGATTTTTAAGATATTCACAATTTTGGTATAGGAACATCATTATAAGAAAACGATTCACATTCATTTTTGTTTTTACACAATCATCGGATTTTTGAGGAAGTGAATATTTAGCATCGTGTTGAAATTTATTGATTGCATTAGATTCAGCTTCGTCTGAAAGTTTATTAATACCGAACTGAGAAAAAAAGTCGATAATCATTTACTAAAATCCGTAAGTTACCAGTACATTCGATTTTCTTTCACATGAAAGTAATATATTATACCAAATAATATTTTAATAGATTTACTACAAATCGAGATGAAGATCTTCAATCAAAAGATTTTTTTATACCAAGGATACATTATGAGCGCCCGTTCTTCGCAGTTAATAATTGAACAATAAATATTATAAAATTTGAAGCAAACATTCCTTGGATTCTTACTTTTATGATGTTCCTTGGACAGATATCACCTGTGAGCAGCGAACACTCTTAACGTGTGCTTGGTGAAGGATATACCTTTGTTAATATCATTTAATTACATAACTTTATCTCCATTTGTTGTAAATCTATTGATTTCTGATGAAATGATATCGAAAGTAATGAGAACCTACAGATTTTGATAAAAAATTGCCAACTGTTTCCTCAATTTGGTATTAGTAAACTTTCAGAAGAAGCTGAATCTAATGTAATCGATAAATTTCAACAGGATTCTAAAAACTCACTCCCTCAAAAATCCGACAATTGTGTTAAAACGAAAATGAATGTGAATCGTTTTCTTATAATGATGTTCCAATACCAAAAACTGTGAATATCTTAAAAATCGAATATCTCAGTCCACGCTCACTATGAGCACGTAATATTTTAAATTTGTTAGTTTGGTGGTGAGAGTAATAATTTGACTCGAACATGGTCAATTTTCTTGTGTATCAATACAAAAGGTTCCACTGTATGTGATCTTCAATATTCTATATTCAATATTTTTGATTATTGCTTTCTTGATGCTTAAAAATGTTCACTTTCCATCGGCCTAGAATATTTGTTGATTATTAGACATTTCTGTATACTCCACCTTGTATCACCGAAGCGGCAAAATACTAACATGAAACTTTCTCAAAAATTGCACACGATAGATTTTCATGTGTTTCATTGACAAATTGCAAGGACTCATTGTTGGACAACTAGATTAGCTTATCATAAAAGCCTATTTTCATATTCAACAAAGACAATGTATTGACGATTTTTTTGCACAATGTTGAAGAGTTGTTGGGGCTATTTTTATGTATCGCGACTAGTTCCTTGATGAGCTAATACGAAGATTATCTTTAAAAACAAAGAAAAATTTGACCTTTGGAAAGGGGCGGAGATACATTTGCAAGGAGGACGTCCAGCATATTTATATGAAACTCTATACGAATCTATACATATATGTATTATGTTTATTTCAAAAATGAAGTTTTTCTATGTCCCCATTTCTCTTTCTAGAAATTTGTAGGCCGAAAATTTCTGCCCGTTTACAAGAGAGTGATTTATATCGATTTATCAAAGATGTTGTGCTGATTATTGTCACATAAAAATTTCTATTAGGACCGTTGAGTATTGTTAAAATATCCTCAATAAACCGACTTTCTGTTATAGGAAAATAGGCTATTCTAGAGAATACTATTGCAAACTAACAATAAACTTCTGCTATTCCGAGAGATTTTGCCTGTAAAATCTATAGAGCTCGATAGTGTGCAGTTTTACGTTGGTGCTCAGTTGTTCTGTGACGCGGGATTGAGTCTACTGGAGTGCCATATAGCCAGCATATAACCTAGATCTGTGGCAAATAGTTATTTTTAAATATGAAGAAAACAACGACGAAGACTATTGATTATAGAAAATTGAAGAGTACGTATAATTGCATCGAATCGAATTTAAAAAAAACAAAATCTGCATAAGTTTATCTTAGAATATCATTGAGATCACAATATGTATGACTAATATATTTATTCATCAACGATTATAACCAGTAAATGAACCCTTAGCACATTAAAATTTTAGGAAAACTTGATTTTCGGATTGAAATTTGGTGAATATTAGACGGAAAAGCCCAATTTTATGCAAGCGAGTGGTATCTCATCGTCTTTTTAGACGCTTTCTGAAAATCTTTATAAGGATTTTGTACAAGACAAAATGCACTATATTAAAATTCACCTTTCAAGAATTTTCATATTAAAAGAGAACTTACAGTAAAAAAAACCTTCGTTAAAAAGTCAGAAATTTGTCGATGCCAAGGTGTATTTTTTTCAAAGCGTTGCAAGAGGCTTTTTGATTCAGCTTGACGTGTACTTTCTAATGAGATATTGCCCGATCTGAACGGACAATAAAATGACAGAAGTACAGACAAACCAATGAAACTAGCTGTTTGCGTCTTCTGACACTCAGCTTCTGCTTTAATGCCTATAAACTCCGTCAAATTAAATCTCAGTAGCCAAAATTTTTTTTTCATAAATCCATTTTTCCATGAATAATCGATTGATGTAAAAAAAATTAAATTTCTCAATGGGCTCACAAAGTATATAGACTATCACCAACACTATAGGAGCTTTAGAAAGCATTGTTATCTTTCTGTTATTAGCTTTGTCTTAAAATTAAACTCAATTTAACAGTTACATGCGAATAATAAAACCCATAGTAAAGATAAGATTCTCTAATGTTTAAGTTTCAATCTACTTACTTGTTACTGGAGCAATAGTAGTATTAGTAAGTACTGTTGATGTATTGGATGTAGGAATAAGAGTAACTCTTGTTGCTCCAGATACAATTACTGTATATGAACCTATAATATTTTCAAAGTAGGTTGTTGCAACTAATATATAGACAGTATTTGGTTGTAGATAATATATGAATTGAAACTGTCCATAAGAACCACTGTCATCATCTTCTCCCAACAAATTCAATCTTGGTGAAGACGGCAAGAAATTGTTTATATACAGGTACCCATATGTGTCAACAAGAGAATTACTTTTGAATCGATAATAATTAGCTGTTGAAACAGTTACTTGATAGGTATCATAGTAATAGTTTGCATTTGTTCCTCGATAACGTAAAAATTTTCGACTATTTGTTGCCCATGCCGATGAATAGGTGGTATTAGCTCCATATATATTTACTAATTTTTAGAATAAAAAAAAAATCGAGATTTCAAACTCTTCATGTTCTCAACGCAGAAAGATTAAAATTTCCCTTCGAAAATCTTTTATTCCCTCGACTGAAAGGAGGGTCATATGAAAAAAAATAGTTTGCTTGTTGCTTGTCACAAGGTCAAAAGAACATCCGCTTAAACATCAATGATCATATTTCCTCGACTGTAGGGAGGGTCATATAAAAAAAATAGCTTGTAGGTTATCGAGGGCGCTGAATCCGAATCCGAAACCCATTTCTTTGGCCGTCATTTCATTGGTCGGAAACCGGCCAATCAGAAACAAACTTTCTTATTTTAAGACTTTTGACCGTTTTGATGGAAGTTTGCTATAGGTTATCAAGGGCCCTGAATCTGAATCAGAAGTCCATTTGTTTGGCCGAGGTTTCATTGGTCAGCAACCGGCCAATCAGAAACGAACTTTTTTAGTTTGAGACTTTTGACCGTTTCGATCGAACTTTGCTGTAGGTTATCGAGGGCTCTGATTCCGAATCCGAAGTCCATTTCTTTGGTCAAAGTTTTATTGGTCAGAAATCGGCCAATCAGAAACGAACTTTCTTATTTTATGATTTTTGACCGTTTTGATCGAAGTTTGCTATAGGTTACCGAGGGCGCTGAATCCGAATCAGAAGTCCATTTGTTTGGCCGAGGTTTCATTGGTCAGAAGCCGACCAATCAGAAACGAAGTTTCTTATTTTATGACTTTTGACCGTTTTGATCGAAGTTTGCTATAGGTTATCGAGGGCCCTGAATCCGAATCAGAAGTCCATTTGTTTGGCCGAGATTTCATTGGTCAGCAACCAACTGGCCAATCAGAAACGAACTTTTTTAGTTTGAGACTTTTGCCCGTTTCGATCGAACTTTGCTATAGGTTATCGAGGGCTCTGATTCCAAATCCGAAGTCCATTTCTTTGGTCAAAGTTTTATTGGCCGAAAACCGGCCAATCAGAAACGAACTTTCTTATTTTAAGACTTTTGACCGTTTTGATCGAAGTTTGCTATAGGTTATCAAGGGTCCTGAATCTGAATCAGAAGTCCATTTGTTTGACCGAGGTTTCATTGGTCAGCAATCGGCCAATTAGAAACGAACTTTTTTAGTTTGAGACTTTTGGCCGTTTCGATCGAACTTTGCTATAGGTTATCGAGGGCTCTGATTCCGAATCCGAAGTCCATTTCTTTGGTCAAAGTTTTATTGGTCAGAAATCGGCCAATCAGAAACGAACTTTCTTATTTTAAGTCTTTTGGCTGTTTTGATCGAACTTTGCCGTAGGTTATCGAGGGTGAAAAGTCCGAATCTAAAATCTGGATTTCAAAATTCAGATTTCGAATCTTTTCGTTCTCTGAGAAGTGATGCTAAGAAACTGTAAGTACTTTGTAATGCGTGACAGCGGTGTAATGAATCAAGAAATACGAAGATAAGATGGAATTAGAGTACTTGTAGAACAAAGATTGAGGAATGAGAGCAAATTACGCAAAAAAATTACTTAGGTTGACAGGATACAACGGTTGTGTCCACTTATTAAGAAAATTTCAGATTATCAGTAAGTCTATATCAAGGTGCCCTATTCCTATATACTGATAAACTTCCAAAGAAAATTTCTAATGTAGAGGAATTTTTTTGTAACGGATCAAACTTTTCATCAGTTTTTCAAACAGGAACGATGGCTCGATTATGAAAATGGCATCAACCTTTCGTGAGTGTAAAGTAGCTGGAAGTAGTGGCTAGCCGTGAATGCCGTCCTTTTGGGAGACTGGCGAACGAGTAGCTGCCACCAAACTAGGTTTATTTAAAATCTGTTTTACGACATTTCTGCATAACATCAGGCAAGGTTCTTAGAAAAGCGCCACTGAGACTTAACCAATGACACTTTATGTAAAGAAGGGCTCCTATAAACATGGAGAAACTCGATAGACGACGCGTATGTATTTAAAAGATATCTTGCTCGGTATAGGAAATGTAGTACTCTTTAATTACAAGTAGAGAAGCTTTTAAAGCAGTTGAAATGTGGATTAGTCATGCCTTGAATAAGAAAGTAGTCATTTGGGAATATGTGATCAAAGACGGTAGTAGCTAAGTGTGAGTAGCGCGACGTCGGAACTCCGATAGTGAAATATAGTAGCTCATATTCCTATTTCACAATTTTTTTGTGTGAGATATGGTCTATTAAGCTAATTTTTTGTATGGAATAATGTACTTAAGCTTCTTTCGACGACGAGTTCAACGAAATCTCAGATTGAGTATCTAGGTAAGGGATTGAAACGCATAAGGAATAGTTCACAAGTGTTTTCACTTTTGAATTGCTCATGTAATAAATATAGGCAGTTTTGAAACTTAGCCAAACGTAGAATCCAGTAACATTTAAATGACACTACATGATCGTATAATTACTGGAAGAGAACGATGCATAGCAGCAGTTAGTCGCGAGTGGCGCCCCACTGGGGTGCCGACGAGCGCCTTACTGCTGTCCTAAGAAATCTCTTGAATAGAACGCTTCAGAAACTTCCAATCCATTGGAAGAATCTCTACCGTTTAGATCTTACTAGTTTTCATGAGAGGGAGAACTGGCAAGAGGGCTAATAAGTATATTTGAGTGAAGTTGTGAGAACAGGTGTATATAACGTCTTCAGTATCGGAATCGAACCTTTCCGCAAAAACGTCAATAAAACAATTTACATCGAATCATTAAAAGTAGATTTGAATGGAATGAATTAAATGATCTTTTGTCTTCATGGATACGTCGTCTGTCTATTAACTTGTCAAATTTTTTTCCCGGCTATTTGAAATTCATTGTTTAATCCCACAAAGATTCAGAGTTGAAGCCTCATTCAAGTTGCATATACCGAATATTAGTTTGAACAAATATACTTTTTAGTCTGATAGCTCCGCTGAATACGCATTTTCGTAGCGGGTACCGGCCAGTGATATTACCAGCCTATGTGTTGATGACTATGCACATTATTAGTATAGTTTGCGAAAAGTGTAGGGCATCTTTACTGCAGTCACACTGATATATTTTGTGTGTTGATTTTCTCTGCAAATCGAATATACTATTTTTTTTTCGTGGTCTGAGGATATTGCTGTGTCAGTGTGAGTCGCGCGGATTTCTTTTGAGTGTTACTGATAGAGTAACAGATTAAATGAACGAATGGTACAGCCGGCAGTATCACAATGATACCAACAGCACTGTACACGCCGACACAGATGTGCACATTAATGTTGACACCAGCACAAAGCCATGTGCAAACGCCAGATGCTACCTTTTACAAAACGTCTGCACCAATAAACAACTATCGATGCAGTGAAATATTCAGTCGAGGGTTAAGCGAGTAACACAGACGAGCGTTACTTGTTGGAGTAGATATAGGTGTGTGTGTGACAATGAAAAGCAAATGATGATATGGTAAATGCTAACATCAGTTTAGAGGAAATCGAACTAGATTAGGTTTTATTTGCACTGTCAAATACACCTTCTATTTTTCACCAATGGCACAAGAAGCAGTAAATATAATTTTACTTTTTGTTCGTCGAATCAAGTATCAACATCAAGGGTGTGGGTGTGAGTCAGAGACATGCACAGTCCGCGCGGAAGCGGCGGACGGGAACCGAGGCGACCGTCCTGTGCGTGCGATCCGTTCGCACCCTAACAAAAAGTATGATTCATATCGGGGCGCCCACCCCGCTCGACGAAAAGGCTTTTGATGCGGTACTCGCCGCGCCGCTACCTGGAAGTTTACGTTACTTTTTCCGCTGCCCGCGTAGCGTTTTTTAGGCGCGGTACACATCTCTGGCGTGGGTGTCATTGTGAAGAGTAGATGCTCACCCACGCCCACAGCCGCGAAGATATTCATTTACCTGCTCTCACTCTGTCTCATCCTAAATACCAATCGAAAAAGGAACATTTCTCATGTACAGAGCTATGGAAGACAAAATATGGAGCTAAGGAACAGAAGCAAGAATATATGACACAGGTCATGGGTAACAGAGAGAGCTTAATATCTTACAGAGAAGAAGAGAATACATACCAAAGTCTATAATAGTCAAGAAATAGTTTAAAAAAGGAATCGTGCAATTTGCAGGATGTCCGGCTAGTATTTTAACTAGTGGCTATCTATTCCTGAAAATTTCAGCTTCTATGGTCTATTTTATGTGATGAATCTATTGCGAGACAGCCCCTTAAGACTTCAAAAACTGACTATTGAGAAAAATTCAACGTTATCCTTCTGCCTATGTGATATAAACCATTCGAAAACCGTGGTTAAGCGATAGTTGAGAAAATGAACGGAAATTAATCGGCGGTTTTCGAACAGCTTATATCATATGGATGTAATCTTTCGTATTTCAAAAAGCAAACACTACTCTTCAGAAACTAATAAAAAAATAGTAATTTCCAATCAAAATCTATCGTTTCATTCTTATTCTATTAAGCTAAATAGTAGTTTTACTTTGCACAAATTTTTGAGTAAAAAAAAATCAGAAAATTATTTCTTACATGGAGCAGGTGTTGATGTTGGTGGTAGTGTCGTTCCACTCGCCGTACAGTTGTAAAACCGTTGAACTGCTTGTGCATCATACACACTTAAATTACTTCGTTGTCCCATAATAACATTTGCTTGACGTGCTACAATAGTTGGTAAACCATTTATAGAGAATGCAGTCGAGCTATAATGCATCAATGATCCATAATCATACGGTGTATTATAAGTATTCACTGAATTATTATCAAGTTTATCAAAATTATGTGACGTGCCTGAACGAATAGAACAAAAATTTATTGATAGCTTTAGTTTGAAGTATTTGATGTTAAAAAAATTATGACCTATAGTGTTCAATCAATTGTTTTTAATTTCAATTTCACTTACATGTTCATAGACTTCTGGCAGTTCTCGATCAAAGAACTGAACTAGTATCAGTCACTTAGTTCTTTTGAAAAGAACTGGTTATGGAAACTTATTCTTTTTTGATTGAAAGAATAAGTATTGAGTACAATCACTAAATTATCATTATCGAAAGAACTAGTTCAATTGGAAAGAGTAGATTATCAGAACCAGGACTAAAAAAACAGTTACAGGAACCAGTTCTCGAAAAAGAACCGATTCATAGAATCGTAAGCTGTCATAGGTCTACATATCTACATCAATCAGTGATTTTTTTTTTGCTATCAAACCGCACTTTGATAGCTCACACGTCGTTGATATGTTCTATTTTTGATATGAGATCCTTTTCCTTCAAACTCAGATTAAGATACCGCACTATGCTCGGATTACAAGTGCCACTCAGTTAAAATTCATCAGTCAACATCTTTTACGTAATCGGTTTCTGACGGCTGAAAGAACAAGCATCGATAAGGTGAGTTTTGTGTACAAATATTTTATATGTATGCGGAATCAACATTAAACTCTGGAATTTTTTTCTGTCGAAAAACGACTTTGACTTTTTACCTATAGTTTAGCGTCTGTGGGGAACTCAAAACTAGTAGCGTAACCAGCAAATTTTTACAGAGAGTGTAGGCTAGCGAAAAAATATTTACAGGAAGAGAAAGGGCAAAATCATTTACGGTGAGGGCATTGCACTAGTGACGGATCCACGAGGTGGCTAAACACCCCACGAAGAAAGTTTTAAAAAACGTATTTTTTTTTTCGTCAGGAACAGCTCAGAGATCTGTGGGGTGGGCTCAATCTTCCCAGCCCAAAATCCTGACACCGACACTACATTGCATTCCCGTGTTCTTTCTCCGTGTCTGCGCCACTATTCTATACCATCATAAAAACCTGATTTTTCTCAAATATCTCTCGTTAATATATCATCAGATGCGGAGTTTGATGCTGGTTTTAAATATCTGGGCGAAATTTGAAAAATGAAGTTTTCATTCAGAAAAACCTGTTTTACTGTATGATATTAATAGAAGACTGTTTCCGATTGCCGGCGATTCATAATGACACTATAGAATCTACAATGCATGTTATTGTATGCTAATCTATTCTTCCAATCAGAAGCATGCAAAAAAAACTGCTAGCGGAATTCCTGCGAGATTAAAATGCGAAACACGATCTTCTTCTCTGTAGGATGCTACGCTCTCTCTATTACTCATGGTCAACGTCATATGTTCTTGCTTCTGTTCCTTAGTTCTATATTTTGTCTTCCATAGCCCTCTACATGAGAAACGTTCTTTTTTGATTGATATTTAGAATGGGACAGAATGAGAGTAAGTGAATGAATCTCTTCTCGCCATCATAACCTATTATCAGCCTCACACCCCACCAGAAGGTTCCGAAAGTCTGTTAGTCTATGTCCTACATCGAAAATGAGCGAGAAAAAACAGGGCTCAAAATCTGATTGACTTATATTGAAGAACCCATCAAAATTAAAGAGGCTTTTTCTCCTAAAGCGTGACAGATGAACATGTGATTACTTCAGCAAAGTTGGAGCTGTCATCATTCTCTGTCGATTCTCCATTACAAATGTATGACTCACATGGAGAACAAGTGGAAAAAATACGGTAATGAATTCTGATGGGTCGCTTCTATCAAACAATGAGAGAGGAACTAGACACTCGACGTTATATATATTGATTCTAGTGTTTGTAGTTTCTAAGCATATTTCACATACTTTGAATTACTTTTCGAGACATATTCGGGGAGAGTATGAAAAACTACATCGATTTATAGGTACCACTTATTGATTCGAGATTGTTTTTTACCCAAAGCTTTGCTTTGTTTGAGTATTTGATACTGAAATTTCGTTCATTTTCTTTAAAAATCCGTAAATTTATCTATCAACAAATGGGATGCAGTTTTGGTTTGTAAAATGCAAATGACTGTTCACAGTTTGTTATTAAATCGGCAAGTTCTTTATTATTTCGAGATAGATTTTTACTTGTTTTTTTTAGATATTCATGTACTTAATCTAGCAACAAGCGAAGTATTATCTGTAATCGAATGTTTATTAAATAGCATAATTGATACAAATTATTTCTAACTCAAATGTATAGTTTTCTATTAGAAACTGTTGGCTAGGAATACGAAATCTCAGGAATTTAATTATTATGTTGCCACTATCTGATCATTTAAAGAATATTTAGAGTATGCTACTCATCGAACAGAAAAATTTCTGAAAAAAAAGTATATCTTATCGCCGGAACGGCAATCACACTCGGATTAAAATCTTTCATAGAGAGCTTTGAGAATACGGTATAAGTCTGAAGCAACAAGTAATTAATTAATCAGCTTTGGATTCAACATTTTGATTGGCCACGTCCAGAAATTCTTGAACCTAATGGGCACTGTCGTCAACAGACGCTAAAAAGCCAAAATTGTTTTTCGACAGAAGAACTTTCAAAATTTAATATTGATTCTAAATATGTAAAACCAAACTCGTCTTATCTATACTTGTTCTTTCAGCCTTCAGAGCTGATTACTTAAAAGATATTGATTGATGAATTTCAACTACTAGCGACACTTATAATCGGAGCATAGAGTGGCATCTTAACCTGAGTTCGAAGAAAAAGGATCTCATATTAAAAATAGAATATCTCAATGACGATTTGAGCTATCGAAGTGCAGTTGATAGTAAAAGAAACTCACTTATTGGTGTACAGATATAAATGAAATCGAAATTAAAAAACAATTGATTGAACACCATAGGTCGCAGGTTATGCTAATGAGGAAATTTACACTACCAGATTCTATATTAGCCCAATTGATGGTCACATATTGATCACGATCTGGTCTTGATTGTTCATGTTCAAAACCTGATGATGAAAAGAAAAAGGAAACATTATTTTTATTAGTTTATAGAAAAAATATCAATTGCTATGAATAGTCATTTCGATCAAGTGATATCCACGTACTTATCAATAGTATTTACAATATTGCGGAAATCCTACTTTTTCTCACAATTTCTATATATACGAGGGAATTGCGCTCGTATTGTAAGGTTATGGCTGTGCGTATAGGTATAAATTTCCTTTAAGTTCATACCCACACCATGAATGTCCATCGTGGCTGAAAATCCGCTGCTGTCGCGCTGCAGCAGTTTTCAAAAAAGTGTTTCTAATTTCAGTACTGCGACTATATTTGACCAGAAATATTGGTATCAGTCCATCAGATTCATTCAGTCTCGGGGTGTTTAATTTGTAAACCCTGAAATTCTATTAAATTCCTGTAGCTTTTCAATGTCTTCCAAAAACACAAATGCTGCCGCTGCCACGATGTTTTTTTAAAAACCTGCCGTTACCACGCTGCTGCCGCAATGATTTTTAGAAAATATGTCGCTACCGCGCTGCTGCCGCCACCGTGGTAGCAGCACCGGCAGCGTCGCCATGGACATCTCTAACCCACACTCCCACCTTTATGAAAAATATTCACATTGGATAAAAAGCTTCTAAAACTCGTCTTTCTTGTCATATTTCTTTGATAAGAGCTTAAAATATGTTCAAATTTCAATTTAAATACCAGATTCAATTTGAACTGAACTAACCGAACCCAAATCAAGTTTTTGAAACTGAAGTCAAACTGAATCGAACCGAGCCCGAAACGAACCGGAGTTTTCGGGCTCTGGTTCAGAACTAGTACAATGCAGAGATGTCCATGGCGGCGCCGTCAACTCGCCACCGCGCTGCTATCGCCGTGGTCGTGGCAGTTTCTTTTTAGATAACATTACAAAAGTTCATGAATTTGCACAGAACTCAGGTGTTCATAAGTGTAACATTCAGAGACTAGATGAATCTCATGAACTTATACCAATAGTTCTAGTTCAGTACAGCGATGACAGGAATTTTCGAAAGAGTTTTTGAAAACCATCGCGGCAGCGGCAGACTCTCAGACACGATGGATATCTATGGTACGACGTCAATATATCAAACAATATCTAACATACTAACCTAATGCATGTAATAATTCGTGCATAATTGTTCCAATACCGAGACAACCAGAAGCTTGCAATGTAACTGTACGATTTATGTTACGACCTGGATTTTGTCCGACCTAAAAAGAAAAAGTTCAAGTAGAAATTATGCAGAATTTTCTATCGTCATATATATTCTTAGAATACTGACATATGATGAACAACCTAGCCCATTTTCGAATATAATATAATACGGATCGGATACATTTCTTGGTCGAAACTGAACACAACGATAATTATTGATAGCTACCGTACGTTCTAACATTCGCATTCCAGCAATAATAGACAATTCTTGGTCATAAGCTGAAAAAAACCGATTATCATGGTTTCCTTTTCAATTAAGAAGATACGAACTATATCCTGGTGCAAATATGTATGGAACAATTCCATTTGGCCATGCGATTCCCGAACCACGAAGTATTCCTGCACGCTAAATTTCATTGGAACAATCAAACGAGATGAATATTATGAAGACAAGAAGTAAACAATAAACTTACGCCATTTAGCCCAATAACAGCTGGAAACTTCATATCACCTTCAACTTGGTTTGCTATAAAATGAAAAAGGAAAACAAAATTGTAGATATGAGACATGATTGGATTTGTTCAAACGAAGTCGTTAGATTCTTATAGAGAAAAAAGTTTTTGATGGAAGCCCACCGAAAAAAGTCCTATTCCATTCTTGAAATATTCAAATTTTTCCGAAGGCACTATCATCAGAAAAGGTACATTCATAACTTAGCAAAGATACATTCATCAGGCTTGAAATTTTTACTATAAATGCACTTGAAGTTGATGTGATTATTGTAGAAAAATGGGTTCACACGAGTGAATCGTGCATGAGTTTTAGAGACCTGCAGTTTTCACCATTAAAGAGAAGAGATCCCCAAAGTATACAGAAATTTAATTAGTCATTAATGAGTCAATTAGATGAATTCTTGGTAAAGATTTTAGGAAACGATATTTTGGAGCTATTTTCCTTTTGATTTATAATTTTAATAAGATTATTCGATAGAAAAAATTTTTCTCTGTCGATCTATGCAAGTCTCACATTCCTAGATTTCAGTCAATTGACCTGTTATCGTCAGGAAAGGTAACTACGCTGCAATAATTTATCATCTTGAATCAAATCGTGATATCTGTTTTTAGTTTTGAAATGATCTGACACCCGTATCACAATAAATATGGAATTTCGCGATCAGTCTTCATATAACGAGAGGGTCAACATTTGGAAAATATTACAATACTAGTGTCAGATGATTTCAAAATTAAAAACAAATATCATCATTGAGTCCAGGATGGTGAGTTACCCCAGTGTAACTATACCATTCCTGACGATCACAAGTCGATTGGCTCAAATTGAGGGTCTCAGGAAAAGTTTTATACCTCGTGAATAAAACTAGCTAGGAATGTGAATCGTGCATAAGCTGAAAGAGAAGAGTTTTCTCCATCGGAAAGTCTTATTAAAATTCTAAATCACAAGGGAAATAGCTTCAGATTATCATTTCCTAAAATCTTTACCAAGAATTCATCTAATTGCTCAATCGCTGACCAATCATTTTTCGGCTCAGTTCGATACTTCTAGGTCTTTTTTCTTTAATGATGAGAATCGTCGGCCGCTAGCTATTTCCTGTTTGAAATTATTCGTAAACGGCTGCGGCCATTGTTTATTAAAGAGGCTGTAAGTACACAAAAAAAATGATCATTTTCAATGTTTTGTGTATATGCATGTCTCATAAAAGAATCTTGTCAGAGAACTGCTATTTTGACGGTAGCTCGACCTCACTGAGCCTTTACTCAGGTAAACAGTTTAGCTCTTCGGATAGTTCCTGTCGATCAATAGACCTTTTACAAAATCACGATTTTGGGAGAGCTTGATCTCCAAAGAAATCAAGGCTATAGAAGTCGGATTTGTATGAATTTAAACTACAGGCTAATTGCTACAAAATTATATAAGAATTTGCGTGTATCCTTGTAAGACGGCTCCATGAACCCTGTTGAAAAATATGCACAAATGATCCATTTTCTATATACAGTATATTTGTGTTTGTCCAAAATTTTATAGACACGCGCTTCATATCAAATAAATTCTATCAAATGTGAATCAGCACATAATCCTCCATCACCTTAAATAAACCATCTTTTTGAAAATGACAAAAATTTCTTTCGAAAATCTTTGAAGGGAGGTATGAAAATTTTTCGAAATTTTTTTTCTTCATTTTCGAGATATATGTTTATGCAAGATAATAAAGGTTCATGTGCTGATTTATACTAAATAGAATTTATCTTATATGAAGCGCCTTTCTATAAAGTTTTGAATGAATTCAGATATATTTTATATAGAAAATGGATCGTTTTTGCGTATATTTCAATAGGAGCCATGGGACCATTCTACAAGGACCCATGCAAATTCTTATAAAGCTTTGTAGTGCTCATGCTGTAGTTTAAATCCATAGAATACCAACTTCTATAGGTCTGGTTTCTGGGGGGGATCATGCTCTCCCAAAATTATGATTTTTCTGGAAGGTCTGCCGAGTGACAGGAACTACCTAAAGAGCTAAATTTTTCACCATAGTAATTGCTCAATGAGGTCCCCCTACAGCAAAAATAGCAATTCTCTAATGTGGTTCTTTGATGATATATGCATATACACAAAACACTGAAAATGATTATTTTTTGATCCAGCTAATACTAATGATCAGTTTATGAACAGTTTTACTTATGTGAATCCATTTTTCTATAATAACTACATCAACTTCAAGTGCATTCTCAGTAAAACTCTTGAGCAAAACATATGTGTCTTTATTGAGATATGAATATCGCAGAAAAGTGCTTTTGTCCTGAGAAAAATTTTCATATTTCGAGAATGGAACAATATATTTTTATCAAATGCTTTGCATCAAAATTCTTAAAACTCTTCCCTGTATAAGAATCTAGCGACTTCATTTGATCAAGTCCAACCGTGATTTATACCAAATGGCTCATATATTCAGATTAAGCATCGTAGAAGTTATCTTCTTTTTTCAAAATTATTATTCATGATAAGTCGCTGGATGATCAAAAATGAATCACGTTGTGTACGAACTCTAGCAAAAAGTCTTACTATAAAGTATAAAGATGTTGTTCCGTAAACTATTTTCATGACAGATCGTATTGTCTCTCCAGCAAGTTTATTTTGAGCAGTTTTATGAATTCTACTCTACAGAGATTTGAAAATATTACTACAAATAAACGCATGCATAGCTTCATACTAATGTCTTCTACACAGATAAGTGTTCAATTGGATTTTCTCAGTAGAAAAAATCATCTATCATTTTGTTGTTTCGGATGATAGCAGTTAAAGAAGGTCACCTGTGTCGCTGATCTACGGTAAAGTAGTGCGTTGATCGAGACATGCAACAACAAAATGAGTCAGCCTGACGAAATATTACCTCAGTTATTTATTCTGCAAATTACAATTCGATAGTTTATTTTGTTCAAGAAACATCACATTTTGCTTCCTACAGATTAGACTATCGAATTTCGATATGACACTATGTGTAACACTTTCAAGGTGATAGAACCCACCGGTGAGTACCACTATAGGAGTGGCTCAAAAGCATATTTATTGCAGAAAAAATTGAACATCTCTGGCATACTTTGACCAAAGGGGCTGATTCTTTTACTGTTGATAAAGGAATATTCATAGCTTATATTGATAAGAGAAACGTTGATGAAAGCTTGTCAGCGCAGCTCCTGTGGAGCTGAAATGTGGAACTTGCATATATCCTTAAATCGTAATATTCTAACACATTATATGTAAACTGAAAATTTCCCTGTGCACTGTAGTTGTTTTTCATTGATAATCAATAACAAGAGCGAGACTTTGTTATTTACTTCTTCATTTAAAACAGAAAATGTTTTTGTTTTAGAGGGCACTATTTTTATTTTGCACTGTGGCTATTCGCTCATTATCTTTTATCTTTTTTAATTCGTTTTTCGTAATTCAACATTCTTATTATTATAATCATTGAATTCATTTGGAAATAAATCTGTTTTATATATTCATGATATCTACAGAAGATCTTACGCACTATTATATACATTAATCAGCTCACAAACAGTGATGTTGATTATCTTTCAAAATTATAACTTGATCAATTTTTCAGAAAAAACTAGAAAGTCTGACGCTTGTTATTCTTAATTGGTAGGGTCTGTAATAAGGATGTCCGTAATGGGGAGTGTCTGTAATGGGAGTGTCTGTAATGGAGGGGTGTCTGTAATAGGAGCCTGCATTGCTATGTGTCTGTAATGGAACCTTACATTACTATATGTCTGTAAGGGAAGCCGCAAAAACTTGAACTTAAAACTTACACTCACTAATTTTCTTCGAAGATATATGAGAGTTCCACAAAAGCTGTTTTAAAGTACTACAGTTGCTATAAATAAAAAAATGGAACCTTTCGCGAACTATAAAAAAGCAATATTCATGTCGCCGCGAATGAGTTAGTTGATTTCTCGTGGTTATTTTTTCTTGTCACCAAAAGATACCTAATCTTTTAGCAATTGATTTTAATCAGTATTGTTCAAGAAAATAAGGAGTAGACATATCTGTATTAATTATATGATTGACAACTTACGATTTAGTTCCAGTGGGCTCTGTGTTGGTAAGTCTTTCTTAAAAAAACAAGAAATATAGCTGTAGAAAAATCAATTGATAAATCATACTAACCGTTGACATTGGAAGCTTATTGGCTTGACTAATGAGAATGAAGCCAAACAATACAATAAGATATGTGTTGATCATTGATTGTTTTGGATAACGTGTATGAACAATAATCCTTGTGTGAATACCTATGAAATGTGTACATATCATTCGCATTAGTAGTTCAATTATCTCGATTCTAACCGGATATCACATTTTCGTGTGTATGAGGAGGGTGTTGATGTCGATACTCCCTTATTTTTGTTAACAGTGGTATACCATTTGTAGCTTCTGATCAATTCTTATAGATTCTGATTATTAAGAAAGACTTTATAAGTCAATTTTACGAAAAAAATCATGTGATTTGATTTGACAGAGTTATAGGAATGGGATCTCAAAAATCAGTTTCATTGTTTTGTCGGTATCTCCGTTACTGTTTTTATTCGTCAGATCGAGATAACATCTCATTTAAAACCGCACGTAAAACTGAACATCTTACAATTCTTTTAAAAAATTTCGCTTTTTTTGATTTTAAGTCCATCTATAGTATTATAATTGTTAGAAAGAAACTTTAATATAGTACATCTTATAGAGTATTTTATCTTCTACAAAATCATTATAAAGATTTTTGAAGAAAAAAGTTTTAGAAACGACCGTGAAATGCCATTCGTTGACATGTATTTGAGCCTTTTCCGACTGATATTCACCAAATTTCGATCAGAAAAATGACAATTTGTTCAAAACTAATATGATATTCTAAATCAGCATCAAGCGCTGAGTCGATTTATGCGTATTTCAGACACTTTGTTTTTTCATCGGAAAATTCCCCGTATTTCTCCTCAGTGTTGGGACGAAAATGAAATTTCGCCAACGAGGTCATTTTGACAGTGCCATACAATTTCTAACGTTGTAAAATTATACTAGAACACAAACTGGTAAATATTAAAACAATTAAAATAGTGTTTTGGTGAAATTCATATTTTGACCAAACCCCTGCGGGAAGGAAGAGTACAGGGGATGTTTCGATGGAAAATAAAACGTCTGAAATGCACATAGGACGACTCAGCTTTTGATGCTGATTGAGAATATTATATTAGTTTTGATCAAATCGTCATTTTTCTGATCGGAATTCGGTGAATACCATGTGGAAAAGGCTAGAAACTATGTCAACAAGTGATGTCTCACTGCCTGATTTTGCCCTTTCGGGAAATTTTTTTTTCTCGAAGTCTTTGCAACGAGGGTGTGGGATGTGGGGTGTGAAGTGTGGGGTGTGGGGTGTGGGTGGGTGTGAATGTGGGTGTGAGTGTAGGTGTGGATGTTAATGAAAGAAGATACACACCCACACCCTCTTTTAGAGAAGCAAAATGGTGATTATTGTAAAGTATTGTGAGTTGTCGTTGTCAATTAAATACTTATCTCACACTCAAAATAAAAGCTGTTAGCACAGTCCTTGTAGGATTAAAATATGAAACACAATCTAGCTGTTGTATCCCAGCTCCTGAAGATTGCTGCTTTTTACGTATATGGGGGCATATTTCTTCATCATTGCTTACTTTCCAATATAGAACTTCAACAAGCAAATACTCCATATATATTTCAAGTAGGTGTAACTTCTACATGATCTTAGATAGCCGTTTGAAGCCGTCTGTCACGGTCTGTGATGGGTCCAAAGAATGGCGATCACTGTCTTTGATGGTCAATTAATAAATTAATTAACTAGATAGTAATTAATAATTTAATTAATTAATTAAAATGTCTGTCATGGTCTGTGATGGATTCAACGCTGTGTCTGCCACGGTCTGCGATGGGCTCAAAACCTGTCTGTCATGATCTGTGATCGTCCCTGGAGCCTGCCTATTAGGGTCTGTGATGGGTCCAAAGCCTGTCTGTCACGGCCTGCGACGGGCAATCAATTAACTAGACAGAAATTAATTAGATAGTGATTAATTAGATAGTAATTAATTAATTAAAATGCCTGTCACGATTTGTGGAAGGGATGCGGGGAAGTAGGTCCAAATTTCCGCTCTATAGACTTTAACACGTCTTTTAGATCCTGTTTCATAAATAAAACAGGCGTAATTGTATGCATATCTGAAAATCTCAAATCCAGATCTGTAAATCTATCTGGAACATAATGCTGGGTCCTTGATTTTTGCCGTTAGAAAAGTAGAAGAAAGATCGGTCAGAAGAACAATTTTATGATTTTTTTTGAATATTGCTGCTTTGAATTCATTGCGAGCTTTGCTAGAATAATGTTAATTTCTTGACCATTAATGATCGTAGCATTCCAACCATAACAATATCGACTGAACGTGATTGATTTTTTATTTTCTGGTGCTCTATTTAGTATACTAGAATAGTTATCGAAGAATGCTCAAGATTTATTCGTTTCGAAATTTTCTTTCGGCATGTCTCACATTCGAAATATTCATATTTCCGGGGTTTTTAGAATTTTATTTTGAAATTATAAGACATTTCTGTATTCGAATGTATTTTATTGTGTTAGTGTTCTCATATTTTTTTCATTTATTGATGAAACAAAGTAAGCATAAATATTTTATAAAATATGACAAAAAAAAACTATCAAGAACTTCATTCTCATGATGCGGGCAACATAACTAGATTTTTCTGGTGAAATAAATTCGGTTTTTTTAATGCTTTTCCTTTATGCCCTCATTGTCGCTAAGATCCAAACCTGCTAAAACTGAAAATCCTAAAAATCAGTTTCTGAAATCAGGAGAATTGGCAAGCTTGTACCCGATCTGAGTGGACAAATAATAACGGAGATACGAGTGAAACAATAAAACTGGCTTTTGCAATCTCTTTCCTTTAACTCTATCAAATCAAATCGTAGAAAGCTAAACTTTTCCTGATAACTCCAGTTTTTCATGAAGAATCGATTGATGAGAAAAAAGCTTTCAGCGCAATCCCTGCGGGATTAAAAATGTGAAACACGATGGAGCTTTTTATATTGTGAACGAAGGAATTTAGTAATGTATGTCTCAATTTTCAATCACTACGCACTGTTACAGAGAGTGTGAGGAGTAGAGACCGGAGAACTTTCTTAAAATATATTGTTTTTTACAAGAAAAGCAAAATGAAACTTGACTGAAAGTTTAATGAAAGTGATAGCGTTTATAATTGTTCATTTTTCTATGAGAAAATATCTTGTTTTAATATTTTTCATTGCTACAAATAATCCATTTTATACCATCTCTGTCAATTAACTAATGTTTCCACGTTTTCTCATTAGTTAATAACAAGCAGTAGACTTTACTTGCGATACTGCCTCTGTAACAGTCGGTGACGCACGGTCAGCGTTGCTAAAGACGTCTGTCACGTCTGTGGGGGGGGGGGGGATATAAATTTCTACCCCTATACACTTCAACACTCCTTTTAGATCGTGTTTCACAAAAAATATGTTAAACTGTTTCATAAAATGATCCTATGGACGGATGTTCGACTGATTCGCGAAAATATCGACAGTTTTGCACAGAATGATGGAGCATGAATATTTGTTTAGCTTTCTTTTCTCTTATGACTACATCCACACACAACTTGTACCATCTCAACTGGTTTCTGTAAGATCTTGAATACTATGAGTAGCATGTTTCGGTACGTTTCTCAAAGCTACATTGAGTATATTTATTAAAATTAAAACAAATCCTAAGACAATGTTAAGCACATCAATAATACTGAAGCATTACTCATAATGGCTTAATGCTCGCGCAAAAGCATTAACATTTGTTTGATACTTATACTAGCCTTACACGCAAACAGTCACATCCTATTATCAACAGTTACGAGATCTTAGCACTTCTCCTGAATGAATGAGAATGTTTGTTTTATCTACCAACTACAGATTTCACTTTTGTATCCGGAATTCTAGAAACCGAAATAAAAACTTTGCTTTTTCTTATTTTCATTGCCTACTCGATTCCACTAAAACCATTGTCTATCTATTCATACTCATTATTCATCCATCACAATATTAATTAAAATCCTTCGCATTAATTCTCTTACCAGACGGATGCAAACACAGCCAAAAATACGGCTAAATCAGATGGAAACAACGCACCAACTGAATATGATACGTAAAAACCAGGTAATTTAAATAAATGCTTAAACGGGAGTTCTTTTCAATTCTAGAAAAATAGAGGCGTATTCATCATGCACTATTTACGCTTCAAAGACGCACAAAAGAATAATACGACAGTGAAAAAACATCATGCACTTAAAAAACTGAGTATATAAAATTCGTCAGGATGATTGTGATAGATGAATGCAATGTAAAATAAATATTTACTTATATTAGGTACTTAAACTTCTGCATCAAAACTTTAACCCTTAGGCAAAAACGATTAAGAACTCACAGCAAAATTATGTATCGTACAAATATACTTCTGTGACGACAAACTGGATGGAGTAGCTTGCCTTCTCTCTCGCCAATGATGTTTGTTCGGCTACTTCACATCTCCAGAATGTGATCAGTTTACATTGAATATAAGCTTCTAGAGGAGGGAAAACAAGACAAATGAAGAAAGGAAATAATGACAGAGATAAGATGTACAAGTTAAATAGACGTAAGTAAAAGGTGATATCAATATTGGCACACCATCCCACTCAAATCAGACGTATTTCTGGGTGTCTAAAGAAAAAGAAACATATCTCAAGGATAGCCAAAAAATAGACACCGAGAAAATGAAGAAGGAAAATAAATACAACATTAACTTCATCATCTAAATGAGAATCACATCAACCCTCATCACAAAAATTTTCCTGAACGACTAATTTTCTCACGCTTATTGTACCATTTAACTAGGAGAAAATGAATACTTCAACAATTTAAACAAAGTCATAAAAATCAAAAATTCATACAATTCAACAAAAAGTCTTTATTTTTCATATCGTTCATATACTGGTCATGATTTCATCGCAAAACTCTTCTACTGTTCGATTATGGGAGTCCATCTTCATTTTCTTTTTACTTACGTCTTCATATTTCACTTTGATATGTTTTCCTTCTTGTCATAGATGAATAACTGATATATGTAGTTGAGCTCCAGATATTTTTAGTGAGTAAATCGTTGTTAATTTCATATATAGCATAGCAGGTATAGAACTTGTATCAATAAGATGAATCACCATGTGGTAGAAGGGAAACGCGGAGTGTGGATGTGAGATGTACGTGTGAATGCTGTGCATTTTTCGCCCATACTCACACCCACAATCTTGATATTCGCCATATCAGACCTCTTCTATCAACAAATATGACTAGTTTTGTACTACATTTGTGGGCCAAAGGCTGAAATAATCCATGAGAAAGAGTGTCTGAATCGTTAACGTCGTTTAGTTTTTTGATACTGTATTTCTGACTATACTGCACGAAAAGTCCCATTAATCTGCCAGTGTATTAGAGAGATTCAATTTTTCACCAAGACGCTTTTTGGTATATTTACCATGAGAGTCGATAAGCAGTCCAAAAGTGAGGTGACCTAACTTTTTATCAGCATAATGAAGTGTGCTAAAAAGTTAGATTGAGAAGTTTTAGACATCGCTAATTCATAGGAGCACTTCAAAGTAAAAAATTCAAATTACGATAGTGTCTCGGTACCTTTCGCTAGAACCATGAACGATCTTGTAAGAATTAATTCAAAACTCTTCGAGCTTCAACGATACTTCTTCCTGTAGGTAATATAAACGGTCAACAAAAAGAAAACGCAACTACTTCTAAAGCAATACATGGCCTGACTTTCAAAGAAAGAGTTTGCTTTGGACGTGCTCTAGAGCTGTGCAGCTTGAGAAATTCGTTTCTATGCCGTAGACCTAGCCATAATCGACATATTCAGCAGCACTGGTGTCAGAATTATCTAATCTGTAAGATTTACTCTGATTGCGATCGATACATTTCAGAAAGAAACACGATAACCTCTCTATAGTGAGAAGAATCTCACGGGTAAATACATGTATAATGAATGGTTCAAACAAAGGTTCTATAGGGATTCAAAATTTCGTAAATTTTCAATGAATTTGAATGAATTTTTCAGGAATAATGTTCTAATTCCCGACCCATGTCGCCTATCTTTTAGCAACTACGACGCACTTACGTCGCAGTGTTGATCACACTGCAATCTGTAATTACGAAAAATTGCGACGCAGTTACGCGCAATTGTGAAAACTAATCCCAGTTGCGCGTAGTTACGATGAAAAAAATCGCAATTGCGTGTAACTACGATTTTTGTTCGCAACTACGCGTAAGTGCGACTTTTTTTCCAGTTACAACGCAACTGCGTCGCAATTCGACCTCAATCGACAACATGAGGATAATGTAGTAAAAACCAATGAATTCCAATACATTATCAGAAATAATGTTGAAATGCTTTAAAATTCAGTAAATTTTCAATGAATTTGAATGTATTTTGCAGGAATAGTGTTCGAATTACCGATAATCCATTGAAAATCAAAGAATTTCAATGCATTATAATGCATTACTAAAAGCAATATCTGAATGGTCAATAATTCAATAAACTGCAATAAATTATAATTCATTATTTTGAATAATATTGTAATCTTCAATAATTTATTATTTTCGCGAAAGGGAGTTCGAAAGTATTGCTTCACAAGTTTAAAATAGGCTGTGACAAGATTTTGTGTATAATCATGATTCTTTCAAGGACATTATTCCAAACGAAAAAACAGATAAAATGCAAGAACTGACTTGTTACATGCATAAAAAGGCCATTACTACACATGGGTTGCTGACCTCCATTATCACTCATGATTGTAAACGGGTCTATATCTATCAAATACGACGAAAGACGACAAGGGTATGGGTGTGGGTGGGAATGACGAGAAGATTAACACGCACATCCCATACTCCATACCCATACCCCAACCTCACACTCCACACCACATATTCACACCCACGCCCACGTCCACGCTTGACCAAGGATTATACTATTTGAAAGAGCTATTGACTGTAACTCAAGAATAGTAGTCAACTGCGTAAGAATTGGGTACTTGTCTAGTTTAGTCGTAGTGCATATACAATAGTTTGCAAAAAAACTTGGAACAAATTTTTAGTCTATATTGACGCCTATTTCAACTACTTTCAAAAAAAATATTTCTTTATTTAATACATAGTAATATACAGTTTTACAATATGCAGCTCAATAGTTAACTCGTCTTCCCTTTTACTCAGTAACTAAGGAACATCTATTTTTCATGCTGTTAATCAAATTGATTATAACAGTTTTTTCAATTTTTTTTCCATTCTTCATCGATAAAAATTTTCACCTCATTAACATTTGTTGCTTTTCTTTTTTCAATCCGATGTTTCATAATGGTCCGCGTATTTTCAAGCGAATTGAGATTCGGACTATTCAATAGCCAGTCTATAATAAGTGGAACATTAGCAACCAACCATCTTTTAGTTGTTGAAGATCGATGCTTGCGGTCGTTATCTTGTTGAACTCGACATTTATTATTAAATTGTCGTCTAGAATTGGAAATCAAGTTGTTTCCTTATATTTTGATGTAATAATCACTGCTCTAATATTTTGAAATGAATGAAAACCAACTGTTCCATGATAACTGGTAGAATCTCAAACATGAAATTTTTGTCGATTTTCAACCATTTGCTTGCTCGATGTTGTAGAGAATCTTGAGTTCGGAGCTTTTTCAACTGATAACTAATTGTAGACAATGGTATCTTCGTATCTCAGTGGATTTTTCTGACAGAACGAATTCCCATGTTCCAATAATATAATACAGAAATATAATGTGTTTTTAGTCTGTTTACCTTTACCATGTCAGGTTATAAATAAAGAGCGACAAAATAGAAATTAATCAAATACACAAATATTATTAGCAGATAGTCTAGTAAGTCTAAACCTACAATAACAGTAAAATAAATGCTCAAGGGAATCTAGAAAATATAAAATATTTATACTGTCAGTTTGTTCCAAGTTTTTTTGCAAACCATTGTATATATATATAGCACATCTAAGTGCCATAATATTGTAGTAGTTGCAAAGAATCATGAATGTACAAAATGATTTTTTTTTCTAGCGACTTTTCTATTTCTCTATTCATTAGTCTATCATTTTCGTTTGTTCAGATAGCTTTGATAATTCAGTTTATATTTTATATTTCATGTGCATAGTTTATTGACAAACTCAATTTTTTTGTTATTGAATTAGTTGGCAACTCATGGGCGGTGTTTAGTTTCAAAGTTCGGATTAAAATGCAAATGATGAAATATTACTTTTCTTTTGTGAATGATCTCAACGAATTCTTCTATTATATGAAATGAATTTCAATTGCTTGGCATCTATAATGAAATTTTCTGTGACGACAATGATTTTTATGAGGTTTCTCGCGCCTATATACTTGTTCGATTGATTTATATGAGAAAAAAAATCCATTGTTTATGCTTGATTTTTTTTTATGCGAATCCAAGAACGGCTAACCTTTTTATTTCTAATCGAAAAATATTGAACAACAAAGAAAAATCGATCTATTGAATGATATTATACGAATATTTGATTGGCCTTGTAAGAGTATTACAGGTAATTGTTTGTCTTTTATTTTCTATGATTAAAAACAAAAGTCATTGTGTTCTTATACTTCTATTTGAAATGAATACTTGAGATGTATGTGCACAGATGTTTTTTTTATTTCAATTATAAACTGATCAAGTAAAGACATAACAGAGAAAAAAAATCGACAAAGTTATAAAAACTGCATCAACAACTTTGAGTGTTTGCAACGCTTTCTTACTTACTTGTCATTCATTTTCATCTCTTTTTATTAGAAAACAGTTCGTTGAGAAACAGAAAAAAAATGATCCATCCAAAAATCTCTTCACCTTCCTATTCTACACTACGAAAAAGACGACGAACTAGTAGTGGCAAGTAAGATATGGATACAATAATTTTGATTTGTATTCAGTTAATTTATTTCTATACATAGAACATTAGTCGGATCGGCCAAATCAGTACGACAATATGAGAAAGCAATTTCAACAGGTTTGTTTTACTAAGTTATTAATATATATCCAAATTGTTTATGTCTGTTTCTTTAGAATCAGAAGATCCAGTTCCTATACGTTTTGCAGATTTGTACAAACAAGAAAAAGCACGAGTTGAAATGGGCTATATGTATAATAAAAAGAAAAAATCATATTTAATTGCACCTGATAGTAATTCATCATATGATTATTTTCATATACCAATAAAAGATCTTATATTATGTTTAGCTTTAATACCTAATTCAGTTTTCCGTACAGTGTTCAAAAAAAAACAAACAAAACCAGCTGAAGTAAAAGCATTTCAATTAAGATTGGTATGTCGATATATATATATGCATATCAAATTTTAATTAGTCAATATTATTCATCCGCTTATTCTTTTTTTTACTTTAGGATATACTTAACAACCTTCAGGTATAATTATACTTATTCTTAGCCTTTATTTACTTTTGGGCGTTGTGTGTTCTTTTTTCTCCATCTGTTCAAATAAGTATAATATTATTATTTTCTTTATAAAACAATGTGAAAAAGTTAATAAGATATAAACAATATTGAAATGAATTCAATGAGATATTTTTGTTGTTTGATAATAGAGATTTCTATCGGAGTGCGGAAAATGTGTTAAAAATACTATCGTGGCATCTTTTTTTTTTCTTCAAGGACATTGCAAAATTGTATGAATTTGCACAGTATTTTTGTGTTCACAAATGTAATACTTTTACACTGGATGAATTTCATGGATTAGTAACAACAGTTCTTATTTAGTGCAGCTTTAGCAGTGAAATTCAAAATATTGTTTTGAATATCATTAAATAATAAGTTTTATAAGGAAATGAAATTTTTCAGAACTAAACTTTTGATTTACTGTTTGATTCCAATTTGTTGGGTATTTTATTCGTTTCATTTTTGATAGTTTTCTAGTAATTAGTTGCTATTTTAATATGTGAACAAAACAGAAAATATTTAAATTACGATAAAAAACATAGGAACCTGTTCTGCAGGGCTCGCAAAGGTATTTATGTACTTTTAGAATAAAAATTATAAAAATTCCAATGATCAAGATGATGATGAATGGATGGATATAGCAGATCCTGATGGTGCATCAGAACCAACTAGTACAAAAAAATCAAAAGGTTTATTTTATCTAATCGTTTTTTCTTTCTCATGCTTAATCATCTTTTATACTATTAGGAACACTTGTATCAAATAAAAAAGTAAGTGTTACCGAATAAAAATTTCTTTTTTTGGTTAGTCGGTTGGTATGGTTTAATGATGATCTTTTTCTCAAAAGACATGACAAACGACATATACATATTGAAATAAGATAGTTTTATATGATAGATGATGCTTATATTAATTATCTTAGAACAAAATAGAAATAACATTTTTGATCATTAAATATTCACCAATATTAATTATATATTTTGAACAATTTTGTAAATAAATATCTCTAGGATACCATACCAGATATATTTAAACGAATGCAAAATGAACCCTGGTGGAAACAAACAAAAGATGAGAAACATAGTCTTCGTTCTATGCTACTTTATTTAATTGAAATTCTTAAATTAAAACAAGTTGATTCGTTCGAATCAGCATGTTATTATGTTACTGAAATATTTCGGTATACAAATTCATAGTTTTTTTTCTGTTAAATTTTTATTGCTTTTTGATTTTTTTTTGAAGAACTACTGGTATCGAGCCAATACTTATCAATCAAATTCTTGATATTCTTCTGAGTCACTTAGCAAAAGATGAACATGATCCTTTAGAGGTATATGCCATTCGTACAATTTCTGAATTTATGATTGAACGAAAAGATATTATTGTTCGATTACTTGAATATGTACTTAATTGTCAACCGGTAAAATGATTAAAAATAAAATTTAATTAAAAACAATATTTTGTTTTATTTTTTTATTTAGACTGATATTTTTCGACAAGAAGCTATTAATGCAATTAAATTTATTACTGATGTTAATAATTCAGATGATATTGATTTAATTCTTGATGATATGTCTATCGTTCATGTATGTAGAATTACTTTATTGTTGTAATATGAATAATTGTCTTTTGTGTTTAAGAATTCTCCTGAAGATAATTTTTCATTAAAAATGATTATAGAAGGAATCGAAAATAGGAAAACAACCGAATCAAAAGCAGTTAATCAAGATGAAGAAAATCATGAAATACATCCATTATTAAAAAAAATTTCTGAGGAACGATGGTTTCCTCGAGGAAATTTTCCGCTTACTCTCGATTATGTACTTGATGCAATTATAGAGAAATTACCAAATGCAACAAAAACAATGCTTAAAACATTAACGACACATTTTGTTCAATTACATCAGTAAATATTCTATCTTTTTTGAATTCACTATTAATTAGTTAATTGTTCCAATATAAAAGGTTTCAAAATAGGATCGAATTAATAAATTATCAATGAGGGTGAGGTTTTTCGTGATCGTAACTTAAATGTATCATTATAAAACGAGAAATGTGAACATTGTAAACTTCTTATAAATTTCATAGACAGTCCTTCCATCTCTGCTATATTTAATAAACAAATAAAGAGGGTCGTATTAAGTGATGAAATCATCGCCTACCCCACCTCGAAACTGAGTTTCTTAATTTTCCGATAGTCAATTACAATGTCAAAAGTTGATCACCGTTTGAATCAGATTATTAGACTTCACTCTGATTGTGCGTAGCTCACTCAAAACTCGATACTATCGATCTCCTATTGCATCATGTAATACAGCGTTTATATGGAAAATTTCTCTTCGTTTTTCAACTCCTTTAATTTGACTAATATATCAAATGAGAGCTCTTTCTTTCCTCTCTCATATGGCATATAGGAGTATGAAAAAACACATTGTTCTTTTCTTTTTTTCTTTTAGATGACAGTGTTCACTTGAATGTATAATATGAGATCATCCATAACAAAACTCTCTCAGTATCGAGCTGTAAAAGCAGCGATCCGCTTTGAATTATATATGATTCAATAAGCTTTTCAAAGTTCTACAAAATGATACTATTGCGTTGTGGGTGTGAATCTTCTCTTCACCCATGCACATCCCAAACACACAGCCACACCCACACATCCATCGTAGTTTTCATCCAATTATTCAGTCCTAGGCCCTGTAATAATTACATCGAAAAATAAAATCAGTCAAAACATCGTTTTTGTTATGTATTCATCTGATGTTTTGATTTTTCCTAGATTTTTTAGAAACTTAGAATTGACTTTTTACAGTCAAACTGAAGTTTTGACTTACTTTATTTTTGAATACTGGAAAAGAAAAAAAGAAAAGAACAATTTTTTCCATATTCCTATATGCCACTCGAGAGAAGAAAGAAGGAGCTTTCATTTGATATATTAGTCAAATTAAAGAATTTGAAGAAGAGAGAGAAATTTTCCATATAAATATTGCAGTGTATGACGTTATAGGAAATCAATAATATAGAGTTTTGAGTGAGCAACGCACGGTAGGAATGAAGTCTAAACAACCTAATTCGAACAGTAATTGGCTTCTGACATCTGAATTGACTATTAGGAAAATAAGAAACTCAATTCCAAGAGTCTTGATTTTATCAATTAGCGACTTCCTCCTTTGTGCGACCCTTTGACTCAATTTCCAATCAGTTCACTTTTGTCTCAAACACATATCATTGCTAATACTTTTTTCTGTCTAACGAAGAAACTATTCCAACTGACACTTGTCATTTGAGCTTATATTGGATCGACACGTAGGTCTAAATAAGACTGGAAATGGCGCCGAGTTATGGTCGGTTTATTAGATTTTCGATCTAAAATTTTGCCTGTAGATAGGTCTTTGTTAAACTATTGAATTTCCAAAAATAGTCCTTTGCTACAGATATGTTACAAAAAATCGAGTTCACTTGAAAATTCAACAACTCGACGAAGGAACATTCTTTTCGATGGAAACTTTCAGAATATTTCAAGAGTCATTAGATCTATTTATAGGCAAAATTTTAGAGCGAAAATCTACTAAGCCGATCATAACTCGACGCTACAAGTTAATGAAGACGAATCCTTTTAGGTTTTTGCTATTCTCATTGAGATCTGCCTATGAATTCAACATGAGTTCAAGCAGTGAATGTCAGTTGAAGTAGTTTCTTCGTAACATTAAAATAATTCTATTTTGTTTTATATTTAAGTTCTTTAAAAATTATTCTCTTCAAGAAATATTCAATTTAGAAATAATAAAAAGATCTTTGATTAAGACAAAATTTCATATTTTCACAAAAAATTATTTCTTTTTCTAGCGTTATTGGTTATTCCAACGAACAATTTGGTCGAGTTTCAAATGCTATTATATTACTTTTATCACATAATGATGCTGATCATCGATTAATAACTGCATCAAGTCTTGTTAATCTTGGCCGAGAAACAAAAGCTATTGATATTGCATTATTAAATTCATTTTTAAATGATCCTCGAGTATATGTCCTTTTTTTTATTCAGTAATTTTTCCTTCATTATTATTATCTTATCATATAGATTCTTGTTCGAACAGAATGTTGTGAATCATTAAAAAAATTAACAAGCATTATGTCCGATACGGTATTAACTGATTGTGCAAATGATATTTCATATATACAGGTGAAAAATTTAAATTATGAACATATTTCAATATGATTTGTTTTTTGTTTACTAGACTTTACCAGAAGAAAATTTTAGTCTTCAAAGTTATTTACAAGAAAAAAATCGTTTACCAACACCACCACCATCACTATCTGTTAATCAATCACCATTAATAATAGAAGATCAAAGCAATGAAGAAAATAATATTCAAATAAATGAAGTTGAACAAAATTTTATTATTAATGAAATAGAAAAGAATAAAGATACTACTTCTAGAACTCGTTCTTGTTCATCTTCGTCTCAAATTATTGAAGAAGTATCAATGTTAAATAATTCTTCTCTACCAATACAAACTGAACCTAATCAATTGAGTGTTCCCTCAAGTTTTATTTCATCAATGACACCCGTACAACCAACAATTCGTGTAGAAATTAATGAAAAACGAACTTCTGATACACCACATGTATCAAGATCTCGAAAAGAACGAGCACCAAGTGAAACAAAACGACAAAAACAAACTCCTAATTTAGATGAAATTAAAGCAAAACAGTATATCTATACTGAAAATATTTTTTTGTCTTTTTATTATTTTTTTCTTTGATTTTAGGCCATCACTTTTACCAAACGATACAAATATGTGGGATTCATATGCGAAACAAAATGGTACTAAACATGAAAAAGAAAACAATCTAAATTTAATATTATTTGTTATTTTATTTATTTTAGAAACTACTGAACAGAAAGATATTGATGAATCTCCAGTGAATATTGTTCCTGAACCACAAATATTAATTAATAATCAAGAACAAATCAATGATCCAATTCAAACAATTCTTGAAGAACATAAAAGAACTGTTGGTTTTTATCGTATGATACAAAATCGTCGTATACTTATACCAAAAAAAATTTCTATGAGTAATACTTTTTGTGATCATTCACATATGATTATTAATCAAGATTCATTACAATTATCATCACGTATACAAAATACAATGAATTTATCGAATTTAAATCATAATCAAAATCAATTAAATGAAGTTGAATTTATACAATTACTTTCATCACTTGTTGTACGTGCTTTACAAGTACATAGACAACATGAAAAAATTATTCCAGGTTTATCGACAGGAAATTTTGCAAATGCATTAAGTATTTCACCAATGCAAATACATACATCATCAAATACATATCAATTACATGTAAACTCTCCAACAAAATTACCACATATTATACATCAACGACCAACATCAAGACAATTTGCTCATATTCAATCGACTGCACAAAGAAAAGCTGCAAAAGAAGGTATAGATTTTTTTTTGGCAAATAGTAATGAAAAATAGTAAAATGTATCACAACTGAATCAAAAAGAAAGAGAATACTCGTAATGGACTATTATGTGGATGGATATAAGATTTCATATGCGAATAATAAGATATCTATTATTGAATAATTATTCAAATAGTTGTAATTAGATAAGATTGATGGAATATTAGAAGTAATCTTTTTGCGATTAGTTATATTATAGGATTTCTGTCGATAATCAGATGCAATGGTGAAAACTGATGTTTTGTCGACATGACTGAATTCTTTTAGAGTAAATTCGTTGGAATACTGCAAAAAATTAGTTTCACTTTCGGTTCTCAGAGATTTATTGCCTGTGTCGGCGTTCAGTGTATGTTTCTCTGCTATACTGACCTTAAGGGTAATGACTAAAAGTATATTCATAGATGGAAATAATATATTAAACGAAGACTTTTGTTTTATTCTTAATTTTTTTCAAATAGATTAAACTTTTCTTTTTTTTTGAATAAAAATCAAAGTTTGATTTAGTTTATTGTGTATATCGAATATTGTCTTAGATCCGAACTCGATGACCAAACGGTACTGCTCTGTCTCGAGAAAAATATTTAAATCATCATCGCTAGTATATCGTTTAGTACTCTTGAAAAATCATACGAGATTAATAAAATTTAAAACTTCCAATTGATCAAGAAAAATCTTCTAGTACTACGAAACTAGTCAAGTTTTGAATTATTCTTTTAAAGTTCAAAAGCAAAACTGAAATTCATAGTCACAAGAGTCTTATATTGATATATTTGATAAAGAAATTCATTATTTATCAGCAGTTAGTAATGTAAAATGTTGTTAACAATTTTTGTAACAGCTTTAGAATTTAATCATTGTATTATTAGTCTTTCGAATTTAAGGAAAAAAAGCATCTAGTTCGTAGATGAAATTTATATTTATAATAATCTTTTTCAGGTATCAATATTCAGAAAGCTCAAAGTATAGAAGGTGCATTATCAAATCTTATGAAAACTAATCGAGAACAAAAAAAATCAAAATTAATATCCTCAACACCATTAAATCTTTCAAGTTTGAAACAGATGGATGTAACTCATGCTTGGCTTCTTGTTCAATGTATGTATTTGTTCTCTTTTTTTTTCTAAATATAGAAATTCTATGATTTTATATTTAGTATTAAAATCTCAAGGAACACTTAATTCAGAAAATTATCTTCAAAAAATTATTCAGTCTTATCCAAAATTTATTCCATTACTTCATACAAGAATACCACAAAATCTTGTTCCTATTATTTGGAATGATCCAATTGTTAAACAAATTGCATCAATATTTAATAATAATAAACAAGTATAATATTCTTCTAAGTCTTTTCTAATTATAATTAATATTAAATTTAGGATGAATCAACTGTTGAAAGTTCTTCGACTAAACAAACGTAAGAGAATTATTTTCAATAAAACAAAAAATATCTTTCATTTCTAATTTAGTGATACAAAACAATCAATACCAAACATAGATGATGAGTATGAAGTAAATGATTATAATTATACAACAGTCATATCTCGTGATAATCATAGCAAGAGATTTTTACCACCTATTCGTGGTTCAAAAATGTAGATAATATTTTTTCTTTCTGTCAATAACTATTTTGATTTATTCATTTTTTTTTCATTTAGCCATCTTCCACATCATGTTCTTAAATTTGGTTTTCGAGAAATCGAAATGAATCCATCCGAATCACCAAATAATATGTTACATGAAGAAAATCAATCAAAATCACGTAAACGTCGAATTTGTGTGCATCTTATGGTCAGTTATTTTTTATTCTGTATACATATATGTTAGTGTCTAATCTGAGATCCAACATTGGACGGGCATTAGTTCACACCATTCTCGGATTAATCAGTTACAATATGTCCATTCTAAGATTCGCCTAAAACTTTTAGGCAAATCTCACGAGGGAACCACCCAAAGTGATACCTGGCGTTTAAGATGAGACTTCAGTCGTTACGTAGGGACTATTGAGACTAGAAGAAAGCTTCTTCCCCATGCTCTGTCCTTTTAGAGTTATGTTCATTACACTGGATTTTTTTACCTTTGGCACAGTATTTATAAAACAAAACTGAACAAACAAATTTTGACCTAGAACTTTGTTCATAGATAGCTCTCGATATTATTAGAATCTCCTAAAAATTTCAGTCAAAAACGTTGATCTCTTGTCGGGATATTAAGTCCACAAAAAACTACGATACTCCACCAAAAGGGTAGCATATGAGAAAGAATTCTTCAAGGTTTCTTCTAGTTTCAACAGACCTTACGTAATGATTGGGATCTCATCTTAAATGCAAGGTATCACCGTGGGTGATTCAAAGTGAGATCTTAGATTGGATGCTAACATATATATATATATATAGATAAATAGATACTCATTGCTTTATTGTTTTTTTTTTGAACTTTAGATGTCGGCTAACGAAAATGTGGTAAATAAATAAATAAAAATTTATTTTCGAATGTCTATTCAGTTTTATTTTAGTCTGATCGGTATGAGTCTGTCAAAAGTCAATTACGACATATGGTTAAAACTGATTACCAAACGACTTCATTTATGCCTATTGTATCACGACCTCCTATGTGTCATTAATTTTTTCATTAAAATCTTTTATTTTTATCATACTCTGTTTCATATACATGCCGGATTTATTGTCAAGTTTGTATAATAAACTATATAAAACAAGCAATTAGAACCAAAATATTGTAATTCACTATATTTTTCTGGTAAACTAAAGTCAACTAATTTAACTATGATCAATTAAATAAAGAACATATAATTTACTTGCCCGCTCTGATTCTTAACTTGCAAATTTCTGTTTGACAACATTCTACATCAAAAGAATGAAAGAAGACCAATACACTATGCAGTAAAAGAGCCAAAGATGATCGAATCTCATCACAGAACAAAAAAGAAATCAATCAACGACAAAAACAAACATAATTTTGATGATTGCTTAAGCAGCGGAGTTTGATGAAAAACACAGAAAAGGAAAACATCGAATAGGAATGCGTCGAAAAAAAATGAAAATGTAGAAGGGAAAATAGAAGAATTGAAGACTTGCCATGAAAGATTTTTTTTAGTGACAGCGGCGCAGCGACTGATTTTGCTTTTCTGACGGCGGCGACTGCTGAAAAATTTTTAAAATAACCTATGATTTATGGGCGGCGGCTTAGCTGGATGGCTTACACATTTAAGTAGAAATAACTATTCACAGCTGAAAATACGTTATGGTACAATCAGTAAGAGAAATACCCGAAACAGAACGTAAAAAGGGGGTTATGAAAACTTTCGTATGTTGAAATGTTTAAAATTTAGGAAATTTCAACATATGAAAGTTTCCATCATCCTTATTGTTTAGTACCAATAAACCCCATTTTTGACGGACATTCGTTCGGTATAAAATTCATTATTTACTCTATTCGAAACTATAGCGGTACTCCCCTCCCTCTATCAAAATACTATTTCCAACCTAGTAGTTGTCGTTCGTATGAAAAAATGAATATGATGATAGACACCTGTGCAAAAGCATCAATAAAAAGAATTTCATACAAGCCAACCTCAAAATTTTTTAGTCTTTTTCGTCAAAGTTCTCTTGAAAAGAACTAATCTTCTGAGTATAATGTTATCGAAGCAGGTTTCATTTGTTAACTCTCTCAGTCTGACCAGAAAACTTTTTCAACTGATTCACAAATTTGTTAATCGAAAGCTAGTGAATTTGAACATTGTCGAATGTGTGTGTGTGGATGGGAACTTAGATATTCATCTTTGTCGCGCGTACATTGATCCATACCTACAACTACAACCATACACTCATACCCCGTCCAAGTATTGAAATAAGACAATCATTATTTAATCATGACGATTGATATATTATTATCATTGAACGTTTATATAAACGCCATGTATCATTTTAGGATATTGACCATGTATTACAAGTCTTTCGACACTAATTATATAATTTTTTCTGTTAAATTATCATTCATATCTAATATATTATCTTTAATTAATGATAATAAAATATCATATGAATCTAATTAATTCTTTAATTAAATAAAATAAAAACATTTAAATATATATGGGTGTTTCCATGGGATTTCTACCACGTTTACATGAAGTATGTCCTATCAACGTAAAAATTTCAGCATTTGTAGAGCTCAGTGAGACGATCATTTTGATGTA